GTTGACGTGAAGGCTTGGTGTCCTTTGTACTGAGGCTTGAGAACAAAGTCTAGTCTTGACGCGCCTCAGAAGTCTAGTTTTGAGGCGCCTCAAAATGAGAGTTGACGTGAAGGCTTGGTGTCATTTGTCCTAAGGCTTGAGAACAAAGTCTAGTCTTGACGCGCCTCAGAAGTCTAGTTTTGAGGCGCCTCAAAATGAGAGTTGACATGAAGGCTTGGTGTCCTTTGTCCTGAGGCTTGAGAACAAAGTCTAGTCTAGACGCGCCTCAGAAGTCTAGTTTTGAGGCGCCTCAAAATGAGAGTTGACGTGAAGGCTTGGTGTCCTTTGTCCTGAGGCTTGAGAACAAAGTCTAGTCTTGACGCGCCTCAGAAGTCTAGTTTTGAGGCGCCTCAAAATGAGAGTTGACGTGAAGGCTTGGTGTCCTTTGCCCTGAGGCTTGAGAACAAAGTCTAGTCTTGACGCGCCTCAGAAGTCTAGTTTTGAAGCGCCTCAAAATGAGAGTTGACGTGAAGGCTTGGTGTCCTTTGTCCTGAGGCTTGAGAACAAAGTCTAGTCTTGACGCGCCTCAGAAGTCTAGTTTTGAGGCGCCCCAAAATGAGAGTTGACGTGAAGGCTTGGTGTCCTTTGCCCTGAGGCTTGAGAACAAAGTCTAGTCTTGACGCGCCTCAGAAGTCTAGTTTTGAGGCGCCTCAAAATGAGAGTTGACGTGAAGGCTTGGTGTCCTTTGTCCTGGGGCTTGAGAACAAAGTCTAGTCTTGACGCGCCTCAGAAGTCTAGTTTTGAGGCGCCTCAAAATGAGAGTTGATGTGAAGGCTTGGTGTCCTTTGTCCTGAGGCTTGAGAACAAAGTCTAGTCTTGACGCGCCTCAGAAGTCTAGTTTTGAGGCGCCTCAAAATGAGAGTTGACCTGAAGGCTTGGTGTCCTGAGGCTTGAGAACAAAGGAAGGCATGTGAGGGCGAGGGCAGGCATGAGGGCCGGCGACACTGTATACCTGATTCCGGTTCGGAACCGGACCACGAGCTCCTTGTTCCCGAGCCACAAGCGGCTGGTGAAGTCGACCCGATGCTGCACCTCCACCAGCAGAGCCTGCACTGAGTGCACCCTGTACAGCCTCACTGTCCGCACCACCGCCTCTGGTGCCCCCCTGCGCTGCTGCTGCTGGTAATATCGGAACTGCTGCTGCTGCTGCTGCTGCTGCTGTAGGAATGAGGGGTGGGAGTGTTGGTCGGAACCGTCTGGTGCATCGTCTTCCCCTGACTCTTCCGGCCCTTCAACCTCACCAACTCCCATCGCAGCACCAGCAGCAGCAGCCGCAGCAGCATCAACACCACCCGCACCTCTCTCTGCTGCACCATCATAGCCTCCTCTCTGCCTGCGCCTCGCCTCAATCCACTCCCTCCTCTCCCTCGCCACACTCTCTCTCCATCTGTTCCCAGCCCCCCTCCTCTCCCCACCCCCCTCTCCCTCCACCTCCCCATGCCCCTCGCCTTCAAACAGAGCATCCATCCCTTCCTGAGAAGCAGCATCAGCAGGCGAGAGCAGTGTGTAGGTGAAATCGTCGTCTAACCACGGCGGCCGTCCCCCCCCTGGCTTCCCACCTCTCTTCTCCCGAAACCTCTGCATCCATCTCAACCGCTGCTTCCTCCGCTCATCTCGCCGCTGCTCTGCTGCTGAACGTGCCGATGCAAGGTCTGGTGATGCAAGGTTCGGTGATGCAAGGTTCGGTGAAGCAAGGTTCGGTGAAGCAAGATTCGGTGAAGCAAGGTTCAGTGAAGCAAGGTTCGGTGAAGCAAGGTTCGGTGAAGCAAGGTTCAGAGAGGCAAGATCTGGTGAGGCAAGATCTGCTGGGAGTTTTGCCTCTTCACCACTCTGTATTGCGGCCAACCACTCGACTTCTGTCTCTCCTCGCTGCTGTGTGTGCTGAGACTCTTTTCTCCCCTGCCCCTCCCCCTCTTCCTCCCCCTGCCCCTGCTCCTCCTCCCTCTGCGTCTGATCAAGCAGCTTACCAAACACTCGCTGCTGCTCCCCCGTCAGCCACACCAACCCATTCGCCGCTTCCTTCCCCTCAAAATGCCGCGGATGCAACACGTCTAGCTCCTCCTCACTCACTCCCTCACTCGCTCCCTCACTCGCTCTCTCACTCACTCCCTCACTCGCTCCCTCACTCGCTCTCTCACTCACTCCCTCACTCGCTCCCTCACTCGCTCCCTCGATCGCTCCCTCATTCACTCCCTCATCCCCTCCCTCACTCTCTCCCTCAATCCCTCCCTCACTCCCTCCCTCACTCCCTCCCTCACTCCCTCCCTCACTCGCTCTCTGAATCTCCTCCTCCCCCTGCCCCTCCCCCTGACCCTCCCTCTGCGTCTGATCAAGCAGCTTACCAAACACTCGCTGCTGCTCCCCTGTCAGCCACACCAACCCATTCGCCGCTTCCTTCCCCTCAAAATGCCGCGGATGCAACACGTCTAGCTCCTCCTCACTCACTTCCTCACTCACTCCCTCACTCGCTCCCTCACTCGCTCCCTCACTCGCTCCCTGACTAGCCTCCTCATGACCACTCCCAGAAACGTCTGCTTCATCCTCGCTACTATCTGCCTTGTTACCATCAACCAGCAGCTTACGTGCTGTAGCAGAAAAAGCTTCCTCTGCCACATTGGCTGCCAAGCCCGCCTCCCTTTCCCCTCCCCCCTCCCCAGTCCCCTCCCCCTGCCCCTGTCCCCCCACCTCCCCTTCCCCCTGCCCTCTCCCCTCCCCCTCCGCCCAAGGGTCAACACCCTCAGCTTGAATCTCAGCCGTCCAATCATCCGGATGGGTGAATCTGAACCGTGTATGCACCTCTTCCACTAGCGGCCCTCTGCACACCAGCGAGGTAGACCCCCCCTCCTCCCCCTTAACCATCGCATGCACACCACTCCCCCCTCGCCCCCCTTCAAATCTTCCATATCCCTTCCCCCTTCTCTCCCCCCTAACTCTCCCAGAAACCATCCCCCCCCTCTCCTCCCCCCCGACTTCCCCATACACACTCCCGCTTCTCTCCCCGTGCCTTCCATTTTCCGTGCTCCTGCTGCTACCCGAACCCAGCTGGTCCATTTCACTTTCCGATCTACCCGTGCCCTGCTGCTCCCTCACTATAGGAACGGCGGCGCCACGTGGCAGGAAGAGATAGGCCCCCCCCGAGCTGGCATAGAGAGCGAACTGCTCGCTGACTCGCAGAGGGGCTCGCATGTGGGGCAACTGGGGGAGGGGGTAGAGGGGAGGGGGAGAGATGGAGCGACAGAGGGGATGAGTTTGACAGGATGTGGCAAGAAGAGATACGCCCCCCCTGAGCTGGCATAGAGAACAAATCGCTCGCTGACTGGTAAGGGGCTCGCATGTGGGGGCGCTGGGGGTGGGGGTGGGGGAAGGGACGAGGAGGGGAGAGGCGAGGGGGCGAGGGCGGGTGAAGCAAGGAAGAGACAGGCTCCCCCCTGAGGGCAAACTGGCATAGAGGGAGAACTGCTCGCTGACTGGCAGTGGGGCTTGCATGTGGGGGCGCTGTGGGGGGCGAGTGGGAGAGTCAGCCGAAGGGGAGGGGAAGAGGGGAGGAGGAGAGGGCGGGTGAAGCAAGAAAGAGATAGCCCACCCCTGAGGGAAAACTCGCACAGAGGGCGAATTGCTCGCTGACAGGCAGAGGGGCTTGCATGGAGGGGAGCTGGGGAAAGCGGGGAGGAGGAGAGAAGGGGAGGCAGAGGGAACATGGAGAGGGGAGAAGGGAGGGGCTAGGGGGTAGGGGGAGAGGGGAGAGGGGAGAGGGGAGAGGGGAGAGGGGAGAGGGGAGAGGGGAGAGGTGAGGGAAGAGGGAAGAGAGCGGAGGAAAGAAGAGATAGGGGCCCTCTCTGAGCTGGCATAGAGGGCACAATCACGATGTTCGCTGCCAGGCAGACGAGCACGCATGGATGGGAGCTGGGGTGAGGTGAGGGAAAAGGTGGGGGGGAAAAGGAGTTAAAGGAGGCTGAGGAGAGGGGCAGGACCAGGGTTTAGGGTATCAAATTGAGTAGTGGTGGAGAGAAAGAGCAGAAGGTGGAGTGGACTAGGCATACAGTGTTACATGCATGCAAGAAAACACATGGGGAAATAGCAGCAGTAGCAGCAGCAGCAGCTCACCTGTATGGCTTTGATTAGCCCATCCATGCTTCCAATTTCCACTCGGTAGTGGCCATTCGATATAGAAAACACATCACCATCACCAGCAGCATCACCAGCAGCATCACCAGCAGCAGCATCATCCCCCTCTCCTCTACCACGCCCCTCCTCCCCTCCCTCCACCATCTCACAGACATACGGCTCAGGACACATAAACCCCCGTGGGGGGTTAAACACTGTTACAGAGGACAGCACAGGTGCAGGGCACGCAGGCACAGCAGCGTGGGGTGCTATGAAATAGGTGGCCAGGCCTAGGGGCGGCACGGAAGCTTCCCAGAAAAGACGGTGCCGCCCGGAGGACGGGGTTAGGCTCATGTTGCCTTTTGACCATTCGGGCAGCAGCTGCCCCGGGAGACATTTTCCGTGCTGCCCGATGATTGCAACGGCAGGAGATTTGATGAGGACGGAAATAATCTGCGGTTGAGGGAGGGGAGGCCAGCGAGGGAAACATAGAGAGAAAGAGAATGTTTAGGGTGGGATGAAATGACATGACATGAAATGATATGAAATGATGTGAAATGATGTGAAATGAAACAAAGCTGAGAGAAGATGGGGAATCATCACAATGAGATGAGATGGGATACTTGAAAGGGGGATGGACTGGATAATCAATTATCAATCATAGAAAGTTAATGACATTACAGGAGAGCCGGGAGCCTCCCTTTATCATTAAGTCTCCCTTCCTTTCCTCCCTTACCTCCTTCCTGTCCTCCCTTACCTCCTTCCTTCCCTCACTTCCTCCCTCACCTCCTCCCTCACTTCCTCCCCCACCTCCTCCCTCTCCCCCCTCACCTCCTCCGTCCGCTCATCTCACAGCCATGCCAGCACACCCACGCTCACCAGCCCCCAGTACCGTCCCTTCCCTCCTCCGCCCTGCGCCTGGTCCTCCCTCGTCCCCTCGCCTCCTGCCCCACCACCTTTAGCCTTCTCTTCCTCCCTCGTCCCCTCGCCTCCTGCCCCACCACCTTTAGCCTTCTCTTCCTCCCTCCTCGCCTCCCCTCCTGCCGCATCTGCTTCACCTTCTTGTTCCTCCCTCCTCTCCTCTCCTTCCCCACCAACCTCCGTCTCCCTTTCTTCTTTCCTCACCTCTCCCACCCCACCCTCATCGTCCTTCTCATAGTCTCTCCCTCCCTCCTCGTCTTCTTCCCTGTCTACCTCATCGCCTACACCATGCTCCCCGTTTCCCCCGCCCTCCACCTTTGCCTCGCCTCCACGTTTCCTCCGCCCTTCCCGTTTCCCTCACCCTCCCTTGTTTTACCAACCTCCTCCCCCTCATCATCTTTACCTTCTCGTTTCCCTCACCCTCCCTTGTTTTACCAACCTCCTCCCCCTCATCATCTTTACCTTCTCGTTTCCCTCACCCTCCCTTGTTTTACCAACCTCCTCCCCCTCATCATCTTTACCTTCTCGTTTCCCTCACCCTCCCTTGTTTTACCAACCTCCTCCCCCTCATCATCTTTACCTTCTCCCCCCTCGTACCCCATCTCCTCCCCACCCTCCACTCTCTTCCCCTCCTCTACCCGCTCCGATCCATCAGACCCCCTTCCATCTTCCACTCTCTCCCCAACTTCCCTACCCTTTCCATCCTTCAAATACTCCATTCCCTCTTCCCCATCCTCCGCTCCATCCCCCTCCTCCTCCCCTCTCCTCCCCTTCAACCGGCTCTCCCCACTCGTCCCCCCATCAACCTCCTCCTCCTCGCCCCCGCCTCCCCACTCCACCGCACTCCCCCCCTCTCCTCCCCTGGCCCTCCCCCATATCCCTACCTCCCTACTGTCCTCACTTACCTCCCTACTGTCCTCACTTACCTCCCTACTGTCCTCACTTACCTCCCTACTGTCCTCACTTACCTCCCTACTGTCCTCACTTACCTCCCTACTGTCCTCACTTACCTCCCTACTGTCCTCACTTACCTCCCTACTGTCCTCACTTACCTCCCTACTGTCCTCACTTACCTCCCTACTGTCCTCACTTACCTCCCTACTGTCCTCACTTACCTCCCTACTGTCCTCACTTACCTCCCTACTGTCCTCACTTACCTCCCTACTGTCCTCACTTACCTCCCTACTGTCCTCACTTACCTCCCTACTGTCCTCACTTACCTCCCTACTGTCCTCACTTACCTCCCTACTGTCCTCACTTACCTCCCTACTGTCCTCACTTACCTCCCTACTGTCCTCACTTACCTCCCTACTGTCCTCACTTACCTCCCTACTGTCCTCACTTACCTCCCTACTGTCCTCACTTACCTCCCTACTGTCCTCACTTACCTCCCTACTGTCCTCACTTACCTCCCTACTGTCCTCACTTACCTCCCTACTGTCCTCACTTACCTCCCTACTGTCCTCACTTACCTCCCTACTGTCCTCACTTACCTCCCTACTGTCCTCACTTACCTCCCTACTGTCCTCACTTACCTCCCTACTGTCCTCACTTACCTCCCTACTGTCCTCACTTACCTCCCTACTGTCCTCACTTACCTCCCTACTGTCCTCACTTACCTCCCTACTGTCCTCACTTACCTCCCTACTGTCCTCACTTACCTCCCTACTGTCCTCCCACTGGATGGACACCAGGTCCGAGAAGCGAAGGAAGGCCGAGTACATGAGCAGCACGATGAGGCCCTTCTGGTAGGTGCCGGGTTCGCGTGACTGGAGAAAAGGCCCCGCCATTGCCTGGACTTGATGGAGGGAGACGGGCTCTTTCACTCGTGTAGGCCGAGGGCAGTGTCGTTTGGCGTACTCTCGGACTTGCATTATGAACGGGCCGTTCGCTGGGTTGGCTGACCCTGTCATGCGATGGGCAAAGCTGACTGCAGCGCATGTGAGCTGTACGCTGGAGACTGTGGCCTGGTGGTTGATTGCGTGCACTAAGTAGAGTGCAAGCGTGAGATCTGCGGCAGGCAAGAAATCCACTTTGGCCTTCATGCAAAAGCTGCGAAACTTCTCCCAGTACGGTTCGTATGTGTTGATTGTTGATTCCGATCGTGTCTTGGCTGTCATAAGAAGTAGCTGGTGATGCAACCTTGGAAGCATATCTGTAATCATAGGATACAAGAATGGTACATCAAGGTTTGTAATTGAATTTCAGTGCTAAGATACGACTGACTGGAAGACCAGCACCCGAGAATGCATGTTCATGGGAGCCCACATGCAAGCATTGACTACCACTAGCAAGGTAGAGGATGGAGGAGATGCCGATTGCCCAGGTGTGTGGGGAAGGTCTGATTAGGGGCCACCAAGCAGCGCCTGTCCATTCGGGAACGACTAGTGTCATCGTGGCGTTCGTGCGTGCGGCATGGTGCAAGGTCGCTGGGATGAGGTTCGGCGGCGGGAACGCGAAGCCGTGCTCTAATCCCCAATCGAGCGAGAATGCATTTATGGCAGTTGCACGTGGGTGCGGATGTTTAGCGCAGAAGCGCGGGAGCTGTGCGTTGTTGGCATTGGCGAATAGGTCGATGGTGTGTGATCCCCAACGCCTTTCCAATAATCGAAACCAGGGGAGCTTGAGCGAGTAGTCGTCGTGGTCTTCCGATTTGGACAGTGCATCTGCATGCGTATTGAGAGCACGTGGAATCCATTCGATGGCCAGACGGGTTTCGTGCGCCATGCAAATTGCGACGATGGCCTTGCACAGAAGAGTGAGCTCAGGCTGGCGAGAGCCGCCTTTGCGCAGAATGAAGAAGACGCCTTGGTTGTCTACTCGCATGAGTACGCGGCGACCTTGGATCTGGTCCTTGAACGTCTGCAGTGCCCATAGCACTCCCTCGAGCTCTCGGCGTGTGCTCGATGTGGAGAGAAGTTCTTTTGGCATGGGGCTGCTTCCTTGCGAGCTTCCGCCGGGGAAGGATGAAAGGGTTGCACCCCAACTGTGTGCGCTAGCGTCGACGTGAATGACCGTGTCCAGACTGTGGGGCATGTGAAAAGGAGCCCCGTTAAAATGGTCGAAGTGGTCAGACCAAAATTGTAACTCGTCGCGAACTTCCGAGGTCAGGGTCACTCGTGCATTCCATGATGGCGCCTCATTAATGAGTGTCAAAAGTTGATGGCTGAAAGAGCGCGCCGTCGCACCAAGGGCGAGCGCCATGGATGCAAGGATGCCGGTGACGCGGGCGACGAGGCGGATTGATACCCACTGGTTGCGCTCGTAGGCGAGAAGCAGCACATGTAGTGCTTGTGTGAGTTGCGCCTTTCTCTCCTGGCCGATAGTGAACCTTCCGGATGCGGTGTCCAGCTCCATTCCGAGGAAGTGCAATTTTTGAGTCGCGATCAGGTGCGACTTTTTTGCGTTGATGACGAGCCCCGACTCCTTGAGGTCTCGAATGACTGCACCACTTTTCAAACGAGCGTCCTGTTCCGAGTCGCAAAGGAACAATATATCGTCCACATAGGGTATGACCCGAATGCCTTGCGCTCGCCATTTCCGTGCCAACTGCTTGATCAACTGGGTGAACAGGAAGGGCGCTGTAGCGAGGCCGAACGGCAACGACTTGAAAACATAGTCGGTGCCTTCAAAGTGAAAACCTAGAAATGACCAGCAAGATGAGTGAATATCGACATGATGATAGCCAGACTTTAAGTCAACCGAGAACATCCAGTCGCCCGGCTTCGCCAGTTCAGCGACACGAAGAAGTCCTTCGTACTTGAATTTGGGGACAATTAGGTATTGATTGACCTTTCGCAAGTCGAGAATGAGGCGGCACTTGTTGCGTTGTTCCACAACGTTGAGTGGGCTGATGCATGTAACGGCCGATGAGCTAGATGCAACTGCTGCTGCTCCTGACGTGAGCAATTCCTGAATTGCCGATCGGGTGAAGTCGGTGTGCTTCAAGACTCCGGCGTGATTTTGCTCACGGAACGGCGGTGGTGAGAATGCCTTCCAAGGAAGCCAATATCCATTGACAATGACCGACAGGATCAAGGAGCTCTCGCACCAGGAAGCCCACCAAGCGAACGCCTGTCGGAGGCGACCACCCATGGTTGTGACATCACGATCGGTAACCGCATTTGCCAAGATCTCGTCCTGCTCCCCGGACCATGAAGGCGTTGTGGCTGCCATGGGGTGTTTCGTTGCGGGATGGCAGAGGTACAGGATCGAACCATGACGTTCAAATTACGTGAAATGTATCGGCGCGCACGTATGAGCAGGTCATTCACGCATAACGACATGCACCTCGTGGTTTTGATAAGGGTAATGAGGTTGCGAGTGCACGTGAGTGAGGTGCGGCTAAGAATCTGTTGGATACAACATGTATCACCCCTCTTTGTGGGTGTCAAAGGTTGAGAACCGTTCAAGCGAGGGTCCATGCGCGTTGCGCGCGCGCTTCTCTTTCTTCTTCTCCTCTCTCTCTCTCTCTCTCTCTCTCTCTCTCTCTCTCTCTCTCTCTCTCTCTCTCTCTCTCTCTCTCTCTCTCTCTCTCGCAAGGCATGTCAGCTGGATGGCTTGGTAACAACCGGCACTATTGGCCACGGGAACTCACTATGCCTTGCCATGCGAAGCGTTGTGACTTTCTCATGCTATTGAGTTGGTCGTTGCCTTCCCATACCCTTCTCCTCTCTCTCTCTCTCTCTCTCTCTCTCTCTCTCTCTCTCTCTCTCTCTCTCTCTCTCTCTCTCTCTCTCTCCTCTCTCTCTCTCTCTTTTTGGTGACATAACTTGTCATAGGCTGGATCTCCAAGGCCAATGACCTGAGCAACATTCCATTATAATTAGAAATACAACTTCATAGCCACCCGGGCTTTGCGTAAAAACGCACACACACGCATACACACGTACACAAACAGCCTAGGGCACTCCATGCCTCTAGCTTTTGGCTAAGAAGCCACTACCAAGGACCCCTGGTCCACACCCGGCCCAGCCCACACCCCACCCTCCATCAAAGGCAGCCAAGGTATGAGAACCTTGGGTGCGGGGAGATGGGAGGGCGAGGTTGCTTGGGGCTTCTCTCACACCACCGGTGCGGGCCCATTGCCCCCATGGCCTCCATGGGGGCATGCGCTAGCCATGTGGCCATTCTGGCCGCAGCGGAAACAGGTTCCCTTGAAGCCCCGACAGCCGTTGCCGCTGCCCATGGTCTTTGGCACGAAGTGGGGGGAGTCGCGGTGTGAAACGGACGGCTCCCGCGGGCGAAGCCGGTCTTCATACGCTTGAGGGCTGCCATATCCGCCACCGCCATCTTGAAGGAGCGTGAGGTGAGCACCGCCGTAGTCTTGAGGAGCTGGTAGCGCTCAGCCACGTCGAACCCGGCATGGTCGGCGACGACCAAGACGTCGAAGCGGCGCTTGATGAGGTCTTGAGCTTGACCGACGGTTTTAAGAGCACCGGCGGCGTCGCCTCCGCGGATCTTGTGTTCCACGTGTGCCAGGTAGGTCTGAAGTGCCTCGAACACCTCCGCCTGGTCACGGACGCCTTTGCGGTTGAAGGCGGCGGCCGCGGTGGAAGGGTGAGGAGAGGGGAGGGGGGGGGGAGATCATTAGGCACGAGGGGCATAGGATTGTTTGGTTCCTCACCCGCATCGCTGTCGGAGTCGGAATCAGCGTCGTCGGGTGCAGCGGGTTCATCTTCGACGGCTGGCGCCTTTCCCTTGTCGGCGCGGTGAGATGCGGCGACTCTTGCGGAAGTGGCGACGTTGTTGCGAATGTTTGCAGTTTTAGCGGAAGCGAAATTTTCCGCTACTGTTATAGCTGCTGGCGTTTGTAACGGGGGCCGCGGCCTGCTTTTGGAGGAGCGCCAGCAGTGCCGCCACTTGTGAGGGCGAAAGATTCGCCGCCGCCCCTTCGGTTGTAGGCGAATCCGTCGCCCTCCGCTTTGGGGTGGCGCGCGATCCTCCCGCGTCAGCGCCAGTGATGACGACGAAGTCGTCATCATTGGCGACTGCAGGCCCATGAGCCTGCTCGTGGGACGCGCGTGGCTGGGGAGCGCGCGAGCGTGTGCCGCCGCCCTCGCCGAGCAGCACGTCCACCCCAGTGCTGGGGCCCTCAGCGTTTTCCTCGGTGGGGCGTTTTCGCTTCTCCGCGCCGGTTTCCCGGGTCGTTTTCTCAAGCCCCGAAGAAGGTCGAGGAGTTGCGTCCTTAGCCCCGGGGCTATTGTTGTTCGTCGGCGCCATAGTCGAAAGGTTGCGGTCGAGGATGTCGGAGAGGAGCGTCGATGGAGAAGTGAAGCGAGGAAGGCTCCTAGTCCTCGCCAGCTTGGACGAAAAAAATCGGGAACTTGAAAACTGAAAGTTTGAAATGAAAAACGTGGGTGAAGGCCAAATGGCCTTCGCCCCCTCTTTTATACCGAAAAAGAGGGGAAGTAGCGGTTCGCCGAAGCATTTTGCTTCGGTACAAATATCTTCGCTATTCACAATACACAATTTTAGAAAGTGTTACACACTTTCAAAAATTTACATGTATATTTAGGGATTTCCGGTTGTCGTCGTTGATTTATCGTAACGGCCGTTTAAATAAAAATTGATTTATACCATGAGTTTCCTAGTCATCTTGCGTAATGACTCTCTAGTTGGGCATGCTCCATATTTGCTGCAAACATTACATGATACAACACCCTCAGAAGAATGACAACCAGCTTACTATAACCACACAACCAGTGGCCAGGGTATCTGAAGCGAATAGATTCTTTATAAGGTAAAATGTCAGCCACGTCATGTTGTAAGCAAGACAGTGCAAGGGATAGATGGCCATCCAGGTGGCGCCTGCTGTTTCGCGGTCACACAAATGTGCCATTTCGCTGAGGCAGCAACCTCAGCATCTGTCGCCATCGGACTGGCTAAAGCTGAACTTTTTTCCGCTTTCCACCATATGCAGACCAATGCTGTGGGCATGCGCATCAATTGAAGTTCCAAACTGTATATTCGGAAAGCCCTGATACGAAGAATGGTTAGTTCGGTGCATCAAGGTGTCGAAAATTTCGCTGCAGGCTCGACGGGTCAGAATTTATCGGCGGCGTTACATGTCACCCTTGAACAACGACGTTCGCAGCATGTGCCAATTCCGGATTTGGACGAAAAATGCACACACAAGTTACCCACTTCTTGGGTGTCGTGTTGGAGCTTGATGAGCTTTATGCAGCAATGAACACGGGTTGCAGTTCCAGCAAGAGCTGCGGAAACTTGAGCCGGTAACCATTCTCGTCGAAAGCAAACATACCAGTGGCGAAGCTCGTCGAAACCGCATGTCCAGCCTGGGTTCTTCCGCAACCTCTTTCTTTCCCAGATGCTCTTCAGTGACGTTCACTCTTCTCCTCGTCCTCAGACTAGAAGCTTCATTGATCGTGTCGTTGATTGCTTCTAGAGCTTCGGTGGAGAAGCGGTTTGTGGATCCGGGAAGCCATTTCAGTGTAATAGTGCGACGACGACTAGCTTTCCTTTTGCGACGAGATTTGCGCTGCGCTACTTCCTCGCACTTTCGCTAGCCTCTCGTCCAATCATGGCGACCGCGTGGAGCCTTTCTTCGTCGTCGTCGTCGACGCTTCGCAGCGCGGCGTATTCCGGCCTTCGCTGCTCCACTCGAGCGACGACATCCCCTGCTGCCGCCCGGTTCCCGGCTTCCGCGTCTCGCGGCGTGGTTTGCGCTGCACGGAAGCGGCGATCGCCGTCCAATTCGCGTGTTGCGCCCGAGGGATCGTCGGCGCTCGAAGTGGCGGATCAGGCGGAGCAGCAAGCGCAGCTTGCGGAACAGCAAGCGGAACAGCATGCGGATCATGTTGAGCAGCAAGAGCAGGATCAGGCAGAGATCGTTGCTGATCTCGCCGGAAACGACGGAGCGAATGTCTTCGCTTCAGGTGTGCGCTCTCGCGAGTTAGCAACACAAAATTGAAGCAATAAATCAATGTTTTGCCGCGACGTAGAATCTATCAAGCTCATCTGTGAGCGTAGATGGTTTACCAACACTGTTTTTTAGCTCAATTACCGCAACGCACGTTTTTTCGCCGAGTGCTACGGATTCATTGTCGATTATCTGCCGTTCCAGACTAGAGCAGTGCGATTTGCTGGGTAGTGTGCGTTTTTCTTGAAGGTTTTAGAGCGTGTCACGTGAATTGTGCTTTCCTGCTGCGGTGATGTTACGCGAATTGTGCTAATATGTGAGGTGATGTTACGCGAATTGTGCTTATCCGCGTACGCATGTGCTCCCCGTGTGATGGCCTGGCGGTTGACAGTGCGGTTGACGCTGACACAAGTCTGCTGCTCGTTTGGGATTCCTCGAGTTTCATGCCAATGTTGATTTAGCAAGTTTTTGTACGATGGCTCTGGCCTGAACGGAAAAATAAGTGCATCTGTTTCGATTCGCGTGTATTCTAGAGCTCCATTGAAATTTGCGTGAATTGTCTCTTGCCAGTTTGACTAACGGACTTGCTCGTGTTGTGTGGTGTGGTTGGCACTGTTTTGTCTGCGCCGCTGTGCTGTTCGTTGCGGTGCTGTGCGGTGCTGAGCTGTGTGATGTGCTGGCGTGGCAGAGGACATGGACATTCATCTGCACCTGCTGCAAAGCGACATGGAGGTAAGCGGCCTTGGCGTTGAGCGCACATGCTTCATCGTGCCACCATGCCACCACCTCCGCCTGTAGAATTGGCGTCTCAAGAGTCAAGACAGTCATGGCCGTTTGGAATGATCACTGATTGGGTCTAGGCGGTTGCCTTTCATCGAGCTAAGGCTTCCACTTTCAGGCGCACAATCCCCATTTCACACTACCTCGTCCTGCCAAAGCTTACACCCAAGCTCCCTCAAAATGTATTGCGATATGCATGTAGTCCTGTATGCTGATTCTTGGCCTGTATGATAAATACCTGCTTTATTGAGCTCCTTAACTTCCCGCGCCACTCCTGCTCACGATTAAGCACTTGGTCTACCTTCAACCCTTAACCCTCATTCGTTAACCCTCAATTCCCAGCTCTCCAGCCTTAATCAACTTGAACCTTGCTCCTGCGACAATCAACCATGCACCCTCAATCCCTGCAGGTGGACTCAGTGGGGGTGGCGGCAGACATGAAGGAGAACAGCTCTTGCAGCACCAACGAGCTGCAATGCTTCTTGCAAAATAGCAAAGCAAAGAGTTGTGTCTCTCTCTTCCGCACCTCAACCCTCAACCATGCACCCAAATAGGCACCCTGCAGGTGGACCCAGTGGTGGCGGCAGACATGAAGGAGAGCTGCTCCCGTGCTCGAGACACGCACTGTCTTCTCGGTTCCCTCCCTGTCCTCCCAATGGCTCTCAACGTGCAACCCTCACCCCTCAACCGCCACCCTTGGTGCAGGTGGACTCAGTGGTGGCGGCGGACATGAAGGAGAATGGGTCGCGCAGCACGCACGAGCTAGTTTTGCGGCGCCTCAAAACTAAACCACGCAGCACGCACGAGCTAGTTTTGCGGCGCCTCAAAACTAAACTACGCAGCACGCACGAGCTAGTTTTGCGGCGCCTCAAAACTAAACTACGCAGCACGCACGAGCTGCACCCTTGCTTGTGGTTGTGGCAAAGCAAAGAGTTGTGCCTCTCTCTCTTTCACACGTGAACACTGAGCCTGTGGTCAGGTGGACTCAGTGGTGGCGGCGGACATGAAGGAGAACGGGTCGCGCAGCACGAGGCGCACGAAGCTCATCTGCACCGTGGGGCCGGCGAGCTGCTCCTTCAAGCAGCTGGAGGCACTGGCGTCGGGAGGCATGAACGTGGCCCGCCTCAACATGTGCCACGGCACCCATGAGTGGCACCGGTGGGTGGGTGTTTGAGGCACACACGAGTGGCACCGGTGGGTGGGTGGGTGTTTAAGGCACACATGAGTGGCACAAGTAGGTGGGGTCGGTGGTATTGACATGAGGGGGCATGTGACTTGTTGGAAGCTCATCTGCACCGTGGGGCCGGCGAGCTGCTCCTTCAAGCAGCTGGAGGCGCTAACGTCGGGAGGCATGAACGTGGCCCGCCTCAACATGTGCCACGGCACCCATGAGTGGCACCGGTGGGAGGGTGGGTGGGTGGGGTCATTGGTACTTACACGAAAATCAATGGCTCTTACGCTAAGCTCATCTGAGGCACATACACACGCGCGAGTGGTAGAGATGCGGGAAACATGAATAGTACAGGTGAGTGTGTGGGGTTGGTGCTCTTGGCACAAAGGTGCACAGGACTCACACAAGGTGACTTTTGAGTCGACTCAAAAGTCACAAAGGTGCACAGGACTCACACAAGGTGACTTTTGAGTCGACTCAAAAGTCACAAAGGTGCACAGGACTCACACAAGCCTTTTCCCATCCTCGCTGCTCCCAATTCTCTTCCTTAATCCCGCCTCTTCTCCTCCTCCCACCCTCCCCTCTCGCTCTCCCCCATCTTTACAGTGGACAGAGATATGATGGGCAACGTAGGATGTTTTCTCCCCGTTTTCCCTGTATACCACAAAATAGGGTATTTTCCCCACCGCTCTGCCTTGTGGCCCCCCTCTCCACCCTGCCCGCCCATATGTCTCCCTTCCCACCCTTTCTCACTAAACAGGGATTTAGTGGATAAGGTGAGGCGGCTGAACGAGGTGAAGAAGTTTTGTGTTTCCCTCCCACCACTCTCCCTCATGCTCTTCTTTCCCATCTCCCCTCCCCCTCTTCCTTCCCCTTTCCCCAATCCTTGTCCCACCCCCCTCTCCTCTCCCCCGTCAATGGCTGAATGGGGAGAAGGCTTGACGTGCGCCCTCTTGCTCGCCTCACTTCCTCTTGCTCGCCTCACTTCCTCTCATGTTCTTCTCACCTTTCCCGTCCCCCCTCCCCCCCAACATCAACAGGGACGTGGTGGACAAGGTGCGGCGGCTGAACGCAGAGAAGGGGTATTCCATTGCCATCATGATGGATACGGAGGGTAGTGAGATCCACTTGGGTGATTTACCCGGAGACTCGTCTGTGAAGGCCGAGGTGAGTGAGCTAGCTGTGACTTGTGTAGTGTGAGTGACTTGTGACAGTACTGGATGGAATGTGGATGGTGATTGTTACATTACATGTGACAGCAACAAAAGAGAGTTGGAGTGGTGTGAGGGCCACATTCCACCCATCAGTGCTCGCAAAATTTACTGGTCTGTAGGTTCATCACCTGTCCCTGTGCATGAGTGGGCGCATCAGTGGGTTGGGTTGATGCATGGTGGGTGCAAGGGTGGGCGCATCAGTGGGCGCATCAGTGGGCGCATCAGTGGGCGCATCAGTGGGCACATCAGTGGGCACATCAGTGGGCACATCAGTGGGCACATCAGTGGGCACATCAGTGGGCACATCAGTGGGCGCATCAGTGGGCACAAAAGTGGGCACATCAGTGGGAACATGGCAGACACATGAACGGGGCTAGACATGAGCAAGAACCGAACCCGAACCGGTTCGAGTCGAATCGAGTAGAACCGGAATATTAGTTTAACCGAAACCGGTTATACTAATAGACCGGTTCCCCTCGGTGCGAGTCGAACCGGTTCGAGTTCGGTTCTTGCTCATGCCTAGACCCCATTCATGCGCCCACCCGTTCGCCCGCGCCCATCCTTTAGTTAAAAGCGCCTCATAAGTCCTCAGTTCCCACCCCTGCCCTTTGGCAAGACTTGTACATTCCCTCATCCCCTGCCTCACGCCCCACCCCCCTCCACCCTCGCAATATGGCGACGTTTACAGTGCACCAATTCCGCGAGCCTGTCCGCTAACAGCACTCCTGTATTCCCCTGATCCCGATCCCACCCAACATCTACCCCCCTCCACCCAATTTACGCATCCAACAGGACGGTGACCTATGGACCTTCACAGTGCGCCAGTTCCCGGGGCCCCTGCCGCCCCAGACAGTGCAGGTCAACTATGATGGCTTCGTGGACGGTGAGAGGGGAAGTGAGGGTTTGAAGGGGGGGGAATGCGGGGGTTATACATGGCGTCCACATGGTTACTGAACCCCTGCCGCCCCAGAAAGTGCAGTTCAATTGCGATGGCTTTGTGGACGGTGAGAGGGGAAGAGGGAAAGGTGGTAAAGGAGGGGAGGAGTGTGGGTTTGGAGTGGGTAGTGGAATAGGAACTGGTTGGTGAACCCCTGCTGCCCCTGACCGTGCAGGTCAACTATGATGGCTCCGTTAATAGTGAGAGGAGGAGTTGTGGGGGTTTAGGAGGGAGGGGAGAGGCGGGGTATTCATGACGTCCATAGGCAGTACGGCTTGGTTATTGAACCCCTGCCACCCAGACAGTGCAGGTCAGCTACGATGGCTCCGTGAACAGTGAGAGGAGAAGGGGAGGGTGTTCAAATGAAGTCATGTATGATGGTGTTGTTGGTGGTAAATGGGTGACTGGGTAACTTAGGGCTCATCCGACTGATTTACTCTGCCCCCTCTCTGTTTTCCCCGCACCTCGAGCAGACATCACGGTGGGGGATGAGGTGGTGGTGGATGGCGGCATGGTGCGATTCCAGGTGCTGTGGAAGATCGGTCCCGATGTGACAGTGAGGGTCATCGACGCTGGGCTCATCCCTTTCCTCCTCCTCTCCCTCTCATTCCGTTCTCTGTCTCGCCCTTTTACACCATGCAGGCATCATGGTGGGGGATGAGGTGGTGGCAGACGGTGGCATGGTGTGATTCCAGGTGCTGCGAAAGATCGGTCCCGATGTCACGGTGAGGGTCATTGGCGGGGGGGGGGGGCTCATCCTGCATCTTTCCTCTCCTCTCCTCTCCTGTCCGCCCTACCCTCCCCTCCTTGCACTCCGAGCAGACATCATGGTTGGAGACGAAGTAGTAGCGGACGGGGGCATGGTGCGATTCCAGGTGCTCAGGAAGATCGGCCCTGATGTCACAGTGAGGGTCATCGACGCGGGGCTCATCCTGCCGCGTGCCAACGTCACCTTCTTCCGCGATGGCAAGCTTGTTCGGGGAAGGAACTCCATGCTGCCTACAATCTCCTCCAAGGTGCGTCCTTCTCTTTCTATGTGTACGTAAAAGCACCTTGCCTTGTAACAGTGAGGGTCATTGATGCAGGGCTCATCCTGCCACATGCCAATGCAAACGTCACTTTCTTCCGCGACGGCAAGCTCGTGCGCGGCCGCAACTCCATGCTGCCCACCATCTCCTCCATGCTGCCCACCCTCTCCTCCAAGGTGCGACTTCAAGTCTCTCAAACTCTCAAGTCTTCGTGATGCTCTCGATGCCCACCCTCTCGATGCCCACCCTCGTGCTGCACTCTTTGTCAAGCCCTGCTCTGCTCTCTTCCCCGTCTTCTCCTTCGCCTCGTCCCCTCCTGTAAGCCTATCCATGTCGGCAGAAGTTCGTCGCCATCTCATTGGTCATGCTGGCCTCATGGGCTGTATGTTACACCCCGTCATTTGAGGCGCCTCCAAAATCGTCTCAGTTCACACGGTTTTTTGAGGCGCCTCAAAAACTTGGCCTCATGGGCTGTATCAGACAGACACCCCTTCTTACCCGTCTCCGTCATCCCCACTTCCTTGCTCTTGCCCCTCCCCTCACCAGGATTGGATCGACATTGACTTTGGCATCTCCATGGGGTGGATTTCATTGCCATCTCGTTTGTCAAGTCCCCTGATGTTATCACGCATCTGCGCAGCTACATCAACGCCCGCTCGCCCAACCGGTGAGTGCTGTACAGTGCTGTGCTTTGCTTTGCTGTGCTGTGCTGTGCTGTGCTGTGCTTTGCTGTGCTGTGCATTGCTGTCCGATTAAGGTGGAATAGACGCGTAAAGTGCCTCAAAATTTTTTATCTCCTCTCTCTTCGCAGGTACATCGGGCTCATCTCAAAGATCGAGAGCTGCTGTTGAGGCTCATCAAAACTCACAGTTCATCCTCCCTCACCCTCCCTGCTCCCCACCCCACACATCACCGCAGGTACATTGGGCTCATCTCAAAGATCGAGAGCTGCGAGTCCATTGCTCGTCTGGAGGAGATCATTGCTGTCTCTGATGGCGCCATGGTCGCTAGAGGCGACCTGGGGGCACAGATTCCCCTGGAAGAGGTGCGTGGGTGCACTGGGGGACCGGGGGGGCACTGGGGGTGGGTGTGCTAGTCGGTCCATCTCTCGTCTGGAGGAGATCATTGCCGTCTCCAATGGGCGCGCAGATTCCCCTGGAGGAGGTGCGAATGGGTGGAGATGGATGGAGCATGGTCGGGGGGGGGGGGGGAGGGAATCGGGGTTTAGGCGAGATGGGGAGGGTAATGGGGGGGAATGGGGGGGAATGGGGGGGAATGGGGGGGAATGGGGGGGAATGGGGGGGAATGGGGGGGAATGGGGGGGAATGGGGGGGAATGGGGGGGAATGGGGGGGAATGGGGGGGAATGGGGGGGAATGGGGGGGAATGGGGGGGAATGGGGGGGAATGGGGGGGAATGGGGGGGAATGGGGGGAATGGGGGGGAATGGGGGGGAATGGGGGGGAATGGGGGGGAATGGGGGGGAATGGGGGGGAATGGGGGGGAATGGGGGGGAATGGGGGGGAATGGGGGGGAATGGGGGGGAATGGGGGGGAATGGGGGGGAATGGGGGGGAATGGGGGGGAATGGGGGGGGGAATGGGGGGGAATGGGGGGGAATGGGGGGGAATGGGGGGGAATGGGGGGGGGAATGGGGGGGAATGGGGGGGAATGGGGGGGAATGGGGGGGAATGGGGGGGAATGGGGGGGAATGGGGGGGAATGGGGGGGAATGGGGGGGAATGGGGTTTGGAGGAGATGGGGGTATTCGGGCGGCTGAAAGTGTGGCGAGTCCATTGCTCGTCTGGAGGAGATCATTGCTTCATTCATTGCCATGCCGTCTCGTATGTCTCGAGGAGACCAGACCACGAGGCTGTATCTCGTATGGCATCAGCTGTGTGTGATGATAAGAGGGAACAGTAGGAGGGCCTTCACCAAGTGCCCTCGGTGGTGCAGCACGGCATTTGTGCAGTGCAGTGCAGTGCAGTGCAGTGCAGTGCAGTGCAGTGCAGATCCCATTGCTGCCTGACCAAGGCAGTGGTACTGTGCTGCTGGCTGGCGCACTTGGTTGGTCCAGCAGGACATGTTGCAGGTCTTGCAGTGCCGTCTTAACGGCCCCCATGTCCTCGCCCATCTCTCTCAGTATCCTCTCCCACCAGCTGTCATCAGTCCAGCTGGTCGGACATGTTGCAGGTCTGTAACGGCCTCTACTGCCATGAACCACACAACAACAACCCAATTCCTCGCCCACCTCCTCACCCCCGTCATGCCCCACCAGGTGCCATCGGTCCAGCAGGACATAGTGCAGACCTGTCGTGACCTTAACAAGCCAGTGACTGCTGAGGTGCCTCCATCTCCTCTTCCCCGCTCATCTCCTCCCCCATGTCCCCTATGTTCCACCCCACTAGGTGCCATCAGTCCAGCAGGACATAGTGCAGATCTGCCGCGATCTCAACAAGCCAGTCATTGTGGCGGGCGAGGTGCTCTCACTCCCTTTTTATGCCTCTTCTCCCCCTCACCTCCTTCTCTCCCTTCCCCCGCCCTCCTCTAACCAGGTGCCATCGGTGCAGCAGGACATAGTACAGATCTGCCGCGATCTCAACAAGCCAGTCATTGTGGCATCGCAGCTGCTGGAGTCCATGATTGAGTTCCCCACGCCCACGCGCGCTGAGGTGAGGTGGATGAAGCACGGTTCCTTGCTTCTTGTATGAATGAGAGAGCAAGAGGTTGGTTGTTGATGTTTTTATGAGGCGCGAGGCAGTGACTCTACCCATCTTTCATTCCGTCGCCGTTCCTTACATTGTTTCCGTCCCATTCCATCCGTTTTGTCCCTTCCGTCATCATCCCCTTCCCGTGCTGCTGCTCCAGGTGGCCGATACAGCAGAGGCAGTGAGGCAACGCGCAGATGCCCTCATGCTTTCTGGAGAATCAGCCATCGGACAGTTCCCCGAGAAGGCGCTGGCAGTGCTGCGCACCGTGGCCACCCAGATAGAGGGGTTCGGGCGGAACAAGGCGAGGAGCAGGCAATTACACTCTTTCCATCCCTTACGGTCACTTCAGTTTCCTCTCCATCTCTCATCCCTGTGACCTCTCCAGGTGGCCGATACAGCAGAGGCGGTGAGGCAGAGAGCAGACGCCCTCATGCTGTCCGGCGAGTCAGCCATTGGGCAGTTCCCAGAGAAGGCGCTGGCAGTGCTGCGCACCGTGGCCACCAGGATAGAGGGGTTCGGACGGGCAGAGCAGGGCAGCGAGCAGGAGGCGGACATTGCTCTGCTGCCGGAGCTGTCAGACGTGCTGTCGGAGCGTATCTCGGAGCAGATCTGCGCCGCTGCTGCTCGCATGGGTGAGTGAATGTATGGAGCAGCAGGGTGGCACCCCCGCAGGGCGGAGCAGGAGGCGGACGTTGCTCTGCTCCCTAAGCTCTCTGACGTGCTGTTGGAACGGATTTCCTAGCAGATCTGCGCCGCTGCTGCTCGCAGATGTGAGTGCACCAACCACAGATGAGGGAGCAGGAGAGAGCAGGGGAGAGCAACACACAGCAGAGAGCAGGAGGCACTTATTGCTCTGCTGCTCAGCAGCAGCCCGTCTGCTGGAGATGTACCATCCATAGCCCACTTCGCCTGCCGCCACAGGTGAGTAGCTCCATCACGGTCCCTGCAAGTAAGGATCCCACGAGCAGCTGTGCAAGTAACAGTTACTAGTTTACGCACGAAGCTATGTGTGCAGGCAGATGGGCAGCACACAGGAGTGAGTCCACTGCAGCGACGTGGCCTCACTGCTCTCCCTCCCTCTGTCAAACTCCTGCATCCTCGCCTTCTCTCTTCTCTCCTCTCCTCTCCCCTTTCTCTCTCTCCCTTTTCGTTCCTCCCCTGTCCCTCCCGCACCAGCCGCGAAGCTCAAGGTGGATGCCATATCATTCCACACCCCCACCGTGGCATCGTGGCTCGTTCGTGACTCTCGCTGCTCGCATTCTCCGTCAGCTTTTTATACCCTCGCCTCCTCACTTCTCTCCTCTCCCCTCCGCTTTCTCTCCTCCCCATGTGCCATAACCCCCCCACCAGCCGCCAAGCTCAAGATGGATGCCATATTCGTCTACACCCACCCTTGCTACACGGTGTCACTGCTCTCCCCTGAGTCTTGCTGCTCTCATTCTCTGTCGGCTCCCTTGCGCCCTTGCTCACTCTTCCATATATCCCCTTCCTTCTCTCCCCTTAGCATCAAACGCTCCCCAACCAGCCGCCAAGCTCAGGGTGGATGCCATACTCGTCTACAGCCACCGTGGCTACATGGCATTCTCTGTCAACGCCCACACCCTCGCCTCCTCACTTCCCCCCCCCTCCACTTCCCTTTCCATCGACACCCACCAGCCGCCAAGCTGAAGGTGGACGCCATATTCGTGTACGCGCACCGTGGCTACATGGCATCGCTGCTCTCTCCTGAGTCTGACTGCTCTCTCCTGAGTCTGACTGCTCTCTCCTGAGTCTGACTGCTCTCGCTCTCTGCCACCCCCCCCACCCTTCTTTCCTTACCAACCCCCCACCAGTCGCCAAGCTCAAGGTGGATGCCATATTCGTCTACAGCCACCGTGGCTACATGGCATCGCTGCTCCCTGTTGAGTTTCGCTGCTCTCATTCTCTGTCAACACCCACACCCTTCTCTCTTTTCTCCTCCCCCCCCCCCCTCCCTCCCCCACCAGCCGCGAAGCTTAAGGTGGATGCAATATTCGTCTACACCCACCGTGGCTACATGGCATCGCTGCTCTCGCGCTGCCGCCCCGACTGCCCCATCTTCGCATTCACCTCCTCACAGGTGTCTGCGTGTGTTGGAGAGAGAGAGAGAGAGAGAGAGAGAGAGAGAGAGAGAGAGAGAGAGAGAGAGAGAGAGAGAGAGAGAGAGAGAGAGAGAGAGAGAGAGAGAGAGAGAGAGAGAGAGAGAGAGAGAGAGAGAGAGACTTCAGGCCTCACCTCCTCCCAGGTGCGTGTGTGTGTAAGAGGCCCTTTACCATCTAACTTATCGAGTTAAGAAGCATCACCTCCTCCCGTGTGCATGGGATGGGGACGCTTACAATGGGACTTCCAGATTTCGCCTCCTCCCAGATGCATGTGAGCGACCTGTTTCACTACGATAGGGAATTCTCACAAATCTCCTTCCATCCCTTCCCCTTCCTGTTTCCGCTCTGCCTGCCAACAGGGAGTGCGGCAGCAGCTGAACCTATCGTGGGGCCTCATCCCCTTCCGCCTGGACTTTTCAGACGACATGGAGTCCAACATCCAGCGCACCTTCAATCTACTCAAGGTATGTGTGAGTGAGTGAGTGAGTGAGTGAGTGAGTGAGTGGGTGGGTGGGTGGGTGGGTGGGTAAGTGAATGTGTGAGTGAGTGAGTGGGTGAGATGAGATGGAGTCCAACATCCAGCGCACCTTCAACCTGCTCAGTGTATGCACTCCAACATCCATCGGATATTCAACTTGCTCAAGGTGCCATGAGTGGAGTGAGTGGATCAGATGGCATGGGGTTATAATTTCTGTTATTCGTTTCTCATACGGAGGGAGAGAGTGCGTCAGCTAGCCGTTTCGCTTCAAATCCTTCCCTCCAAATACGGACTGCAGGCAGAACCTTACGCGTGCCCTCGTTGCTACTGTGCTTGCCTCTCTACCAAATGAATAAACACCCCCATCCCATCCCATCATCCCATCCCATGCATGCAGGCGCGGGGCATGATGAAGTCGGGGGACCTGGTGATCACAGTCTCAGACATCATTGGCAGCGATGGTGCTTGCCCCTGCACTATGCTCATGAATCCCCCATGCATATGACACCCCGTCCCATTCCTTCTGGCGCGGGGCATGATGAAATCGGGAGACCTGGTGATCACAGTCTCGGACATCATCTGAATGCTCTCATGCACATGACACCCCATCCCATCCCATGCATGCAGGCACGGGGCATGATGAAGTCGGGAGACCTCGTGATCACAGTCTCAGACATCATTGGCAGCGACACCACCTTCGACGGAGGGCTGCAGTCCATGCAGATCCGGAATGTGCCGTGAATGTAACGTGCGAGCGAGATGCCAGTGGATGAACGAGCCAGTTCTTATTTCCTCAGCTTAAAAAAAAAAAAATGCATGAAGGAGTCTTGTATGAGGATTATCAGGGGAGGGAGAAGTAGCGTGGGAGCTTTTGTGGCATGGTGTAGATGTGACCAGATCAAGTAGTTTCTAGAGCTGTAACTTGTGCAATGTCTCAAAGCAACTTTCCCCTGATTTAGGCAATATCCTACAATCTGAAATCAGCCAGCTCTGACTCGTCAGAATCTTGCCTGACTCTTGCTTTGGTGCAATGCATGTTCAAATTTTATTCAACTGATGAAACCACAACAGGTACTGTTTTGGACACCATTGTTAGGCCCCCGTAACACCATTGTACGGATTTACAAAAGTTGCCTGACACATCTGTTCACATTCACGAAAGGGCTAGTAACGAGTTTCAACTCGGGAATAACGCGTGGCACCACGTGTCAAGTCTATCAAAGTGCACCACAATCCCTAAGTATTACTGAGAGTGACGTGGCTCCTACTCTATTCTCGAAACGGCGCAGACACCCGCGATGCGCTCAGTTCTGCACACGTGCCACGTGAGGGAACATCAGCCAGTTTGACCGCCACTTTGGCCAGCGTGGCGGCAACCAACAGCAAGAACACCTCATTGCTGAGTTGTGATGGACCACACTAGATCTCGGGAAAACCACGGAATATCTCTTGTCGCATCTAGGTGGAGCCTATCTTTCCCCAGGTTACTGTATCAAATCTGTCAATTCCCATCAACATCGGGCAGACCGTCAACCTCGATATTGGCTTCCAGTTGGTGGCCTCCATCAACCTTTGCTGTCACATCGCACGGTTGGTTGTTGGGGTCTTTTCACGTTTCGGGCTGCCCTGCGTCATCGCATCTTTGCCCCTTGAACTTCGTCGATCAGCACATCTCGACCTCAAATTGAGAACTGAGGGGGCGTGGGGGAGGGCATGGGTAGGGCAGAGCATACATCCCCCAGCGAGGTGGGACGGTTGGCGCGCATGGGCGGAAGCAGCGGCGACGAAAATTGAGAATTGTGCGACGAAGCAGTGAGCAACACGCGGCGGTTGGCGGCAAGGCCAGCTTCGCGTGTTCGCGAAGGGCGAAGAAGCATTGCGATCCGCGAAAGTGCTGATCGATTGCCAGAAGCAGCAGTTTCGTTCGAGGAGGCGCGAGGGCACCGCCTTGGGATTACAGCGGAAGGTTGTTGAAAGAAGTCAAGGGAGAGGACGCAGAAGCAACCATCGCCATATGCAGTAATTCATTGCCTGCGTTCTCGGTCGGCAGTAGAAAAGCAGAAAGTTGAGCATTCTCAATTGCAGCCAGTTACCTCTATCCCTCGCTTTGAGTCGCCCGCTTAGCATCTTCTCACGCTCCTTCAGCCAGATTTCCATTCACCTCATCAATTTCGACGCTGATTTCTGATCTTCTGAGCGACTATGGCCAGTCCAGCTTCCAAGATTGTTGCTAGCATAACCGGAGCTGCTGCCGGCCTGCTGGCCTCGTATGGCTATCAAGGTTCCAATCAGGTAATATCTTGCTAGATTCTTGTCCTCGTGTCTCATCCCGCAAACCTTCTCTTCCCGCGTCGCTCCGCTAGAATGTTTCAACGCACAATCTCTCAACACAGACTCACTTACCCCTCGCCATGATGTTGTGTTCCGCAGACGAAAGTCTCCAATTGCCAAGCCGTCGCGACGACCGCCGACGCCGCTCCATCGTCAGCCTCGCAGAAGCCTCAGAAGCCTGTAGCTCCCATTCGGTGCGCCATCGAGCTTGACGGCCTCGAGCTTTTTGAGACCCTCGCTCGGTGACATAAGACGAGAAGTTTCGTCGTTCTCGTGCCAACACGACATAAACTTTTGGTTTCCAGTTTCATTGACGAGCGATAACGGGGATGGAGGTTACAGTCAGCTGGGGTGTTATTGAGGAGTTGTAGAAAACCTGTTGTCGGGTCGCGAAGGAACCAATCGCTTTAGGCTGCCGAAAGGGAAGTGGGGGGGGGGGATCTGCGGATTTGGTGGGGGATATTTGAAGGCCTCGACAGAACAGAAAGAAGAGTTGTTGGTGGTCACCGGCGGTTTCAGTGGCCGCTAAGGAGGCACGCTCTATACACGTCGTGTCGCGCTCGTCATTATTCGGACCTGGTCATGCTTCCTCGGTGGCCCTGGTCTTCAATTTTGTAGCTAGGTTCCTCCATCTGTCTTTTGGTTCTTCGTACATATCCCCCTTCATTATTGTCCTGTAAAAGGGACATTGCCACTTGTCTTTCCAGAATAGCGTAGAAGCTTTTTGTCTGGCTCAAAATTCTTTCCAACCACTCGAAGCTCTTCCAGGCAGGAACATCTGGACGCGAGATGGTTGGCTTTTAAAAAAATGCAAGTAATGAAGACACTAGGAACTATTATTGGTTCAATAAAGTTAGCGACAGATATTCAGTCACTCATTCCCCCTCATACTCGACCAGCACATAAAGCGGCTTTGATCCAAGCTTCTGACGTCCCTGAAACCCCAAAGTGGTAAGCGAGTCCACGCTTCAATTGATGCCACTGATACCTCTCATAAAACCCAAATCAGGAAAAAACATCAGCAACAAATTTCGGGCCAAGAAATTATAACCGTACCTTTAAATCAGGAAGCTCTATGACGCATGCACACTCATCCACTTGTGCCCCAGTTCGCTCTGTGGAACAGTACAAAGACAAAGGCAAGAGTGTTTGAAGGAGTGCAAGAGAGAGAGAGAGTGAGAGGGGGAGCGAGTGAGCAGTGAGCAACGGGGAGGAAGGGAACACGAAAATGTCACAGGAGAGAGGGAGGACGGCGGGAAAGGGGAGCAGGGGCCACACATCATCCACCTACAACACCTTGTCCTTGGTCCTAGATTACCTATTAAGCGGATGCTAGCACCGAGAGCTCGTCAGGTGGCCTCGAGGTCGTCAACCATCACCACTTTGCCTCCCTCCAGACCTTGCTTTGGGTGCCATGGGCTCTTCAAGGTACTGAACATTCCAGCACTCCCAGCACCCAATCATGTTGGAATAACTGAAAGGAAGTGTGTACCTATCAAGCGGATGCCACCGCCGAGAGTTCTCCCTGTGGCCAAGATCGTCCACCATCACCACTTTCCCCCCCTCCAGGCCTCTCTTTGGGTCCCACGGGCATTTCAAGGTACTGGACATTCCAGCACTCCCAGCACCCATTAAAGGAGATGCGTACCTATAAAGCGGATGCCAGCGCCGAGGGTTCCTCCTGTAGCGACGAGGTCGTCCACCAGCAGCACCTTGTCCTCCGGCCCCACACTGCGCCCACACTAGTAGAGGTGCACTGCGTACCTATTAAACGAATGCCAGCGCCGAGGGTTCCTCCTGTTGCAACGAGGTCGTCCACCAGCAGCACCTTGTCCTCCGGCCCCACAGCCCCCAGATGCATCTCTATCTTATCCGTCCCATACTCCAGTGCATACTCCTCGCTGATCGTCGCGCCTGAGAGGAAGAAAAAAGAGGAGAGGCGATACCCAGTGAGGAGCCTAACTGACATAGAGGAGCATTGCAAGCTTATCCGTCCAATACTCCAATGCATACTCCTCGCTGATCGTCGCGCCTGCGAGGAGGGACAATGTGAAGAGGGGATACTCAGTGAGGAGCCAAACTGACACAGAGGAGCATTGCAATCTAATCGCTGAGTGACCAGGTAATGTGGTTTTCATCAATTGACCTGGCTGAAGGGCGGAACCAGGAGAGTGGCTCAACAGGGATAAGTGAAACGGGTTTGAGTGGATGAATGCGCGATGTGAGCCCAGCCGAGCTTGGATATACTGTGTTAACTACTCCAGCTTTTTTTTTTTCCCCTACAGATTTTTCCTTTTCTACATATTGTCGGATCTTTGTTGGTTTTCGTCAGGTTCCCTGACCAGTGTGACAGGACGACAAATGTGCTGCTGACCTGGAAGCTTCCGTGGTTTCCGGAGGCAGACAAACTTGGCGCCAATGGCAAGAGCAATTGGCGGGCCGAAGATGAAACCCCGTGCTTCGATTCCTGACGAAAAGATTAGCAAAATGCAAGGGTTTAGAATCGTCAGGGTTTAGGGAATAAGACAGGAGGGCGATTTTGACTTTGATGAATGAGCGGGTTTAGGGGGACAACAGCACGCAGAAAGCAACCGGCTTTAGCAGGCTCAAATGCCTGGAAATTACAAGAGGAATAAGTGAACTGTCTAAAGCGTAACTGTCATGAACGGAGTAACTGAGCTAAAACGCGTACCAGCGACGGCGGTGTAGCCCTTGTCCTTGTAGCGCTCGACGAACATGTCGATGCAGTCCTGAAACGCCTTGGGCTCCAGCAGCAGCGTCGTCACGTCGCGGAACATGATGCCTGAAATGAACATCAATATCGCGAAAAGAGATTTCTGAAACAAGTATCAATGTCGAGCAACCTTCTCCCCGATAACAAGAACAGCGTCAAAGAACAACGCACGTCCATCAAAGGATATACACTGCATAATTACTAAGAACACCCGCATTGGGGGAAGATTTTGAATTTCGGAGGCGCTCACCCTTCTTAGGCCAATCAGGGATGGCTCGGATAGACTTTTTAATCCCTTCCACCCGGCTATCTCCGTCCCTGTCGGCCGACATGGTCGTTTGCGGGTGGGTAAAAGCCGGTCGGTGAGAGAACGACGATAGCTTCAGCAGCAGAGGGGAAATCTGATGCACGCGTGGAAGGGACGACCTGGCAAGCCCGAGCATGAAATGTTCCTAAAATAAGCGACAGTTATCTGAAAGAACTGTGGCGGAATTAGTGGTGATCAGATTGGTGATCTCCATCTGTAACCGTAAAATGGGCAATCCCGGCGTTGAGCTTGCAGATCACTGATCAGCAGCATTTAAAGGTTTATAGTGGTGCGCAATGGTTGAAAGCGGTGAGAGCCAGAAACCACCCCTAAACGTGGTTGACCGTGTTAGACCCCAACAAAGGGGCTCTGAAATGACCCTAACCTGCCTCCGAGGTTCGACCAGAAATCTCAGCGTCGCGAACCGCAATCAAACGCGCTAAACGCCTGGTTGATTGACACCGACAAAGCAACTTGCTGCAGCTTTGGTTGGAACCTCTTCAGGTACGGCATTGAAAGCTGTAGTAACCACTTTTCATGGGCAGGTTGCCTGGGCATCTCGAGTAAATACCCTTACAATTCGGACACCACTTTTTCCCCTGGTGTAACCGACACCCATCGTAGGGTGGAGATCTGATCCACGCATGAACAGAACGACCTCGGAAGGATGAGAACAATGACGGCCGCAAAATGCTGGTAATTCAGGCTAAAAAACAACTACGCAAAAAAAGGCGGTAGGCTTGCTTCTTCACACAACTCTCACCCATGGTCGCAGATTTCCCAAAGTAATGGGAACCAATCGAAGTAAATCGGAGTTTGGTCAGTTGAAGGGTGAGCAAGTGCCCCTGCATCCAGGGGTGGCATCGAATTTTTTCACCACATGTTATAAGCCAGTGAAAGTGAGACACGTGTGTTTGTATGATTAGCCCGTCAAGCTCGCAGCTATTTCTGAGGGTTATACACTATATCGAGAATGTTGATTCTATAATGCTTAGTGATGTAGTGTACAGCGAATCAGATGCTGAAATCCTGCTTTGTTCTGTTGTAAGTCGAAACCCGCATTTTCGAGTTCCCGCTGCTCTAGGATCCTTACATTGTCCCTTGGTAGTTCAAGCAGGGCTATTCATTCAACATGCAAGGAGCGTTTTCTCCTGCTTCCGTCGGTTCCGCTGCTGCATCCGCTCCAATCCACGCTTACATCCAACGCGCCAATCGGCTGCTGACACGTGTCGAGAACTTGCCTCCTAGCAAGCTCAGCGCAGAGTGTCGCCGTCGCCTCGTTAAGCTCATCAGTCGCGAGCGCCAATTCCTGTCCTCGATATTAGTTCAGTCGAATTCCGGTACAGGTCATCTGGAGCAACCAGCACTGCAGAAGGCACAGCGAGGCTCAGGATGGCCGGCGAAGCGGCTTCAAAGGCAGGTGACTGTAACGGATGGTGGTGGTGAGATTCAGGCAACAAGATGCAATCATGCGTGGTGAAAATTCATAACTGATAAACAATCAGAATAATATGCTCTAAGAATCATGTAGAAATTTGTTTTGTCTTCGCACCATGCATGCTTACAAATATTCCCGCCTCCCATCCCCATGCATGCTCCAATTTCTTTTGTCTCCCCCCATCCCCGTGTATACTCTCAATCTACACCCTCTTCCAATGATCCAATTTCCCCCTCTCTGCCAAACAGTTCCAACCTCCCCACATGGAGACGATCGTTGCCGCCCTATGCCACCCGCTGGTCACTCAGGTGTCTGCCGCCATGACGCACTTCCCCACTGCCGCTGCCGGGGCCAATCAGAATCAGACACATCACCACCCTGCCAACTCTGATCCAGCGATCAAGCCCGATCCAACGGTTCACATTGATCGAGCAGTGCACGTGGACCTCGTGTGTCTGTTTGACGGCCTGCCCACGTGGCTGCTGGCAACGGCTCGCAACCCCAACCGGATAGCTTATCATGACCCAGCACCAGTTTCAGCCACGTGGGAGGGAAGCACTCATGGTAAGGCCACGATTTAACGTGAAATAAGCCCTCGATGAGCAGTTTTGACAGGGTTAGTTATGCTCGTTGATCTGGTTTTTGCAGCATTGATGAGAGGATAAGTGCAAGGTGAAAGCTCAGGGTGTGCAAGGTGAGGTGTGTGGAAGGGTGAGGTGTGGGGAAGGTGAGGTGTGTGCAAGGTGAGGTGTGTGGAAGGGTGAGGTGTGGGGAAGGTGAGGTGTGGGGAAGGTGAGGTGTGTGGAAGGTGTGCAACGATCAAGCATGATTGGGTTTCAGTGGGAAAAAGCGGCCCTAGATTGAGCACTTTCGTCCACAGCCTACCTACCTACAACCCCCTGCCCCTCTCCTCATCTCATGCCTCCTCTTTCATTCACCCTCATTCTTAGGGGCTTACGTCCCCCCATTCTGCCCCCCATTCGTTCCCCCCATCGTTTTCTTCCCTTCTTCCTTGGTCATTCTCCTTGGTCTTCTCCCCCTTCCCCCCTCTCTTCCCCCTTCCCCCCCCTTCCCCCCCCCCCCCTCCCCCCTCTCCCCCCCCCTCTCCCCCTTTCCCCCCTCTCTTCCCCCCCCCCCCCTCTTCCCCCTTCCCCCCTCTCTCCTTCCCCCTTCCCCCCTCTCTTCCCCCTTCCCCCCTCTTTCCCCCTTCCCCCCTCTCTTCCCCCTTCCCCCCTCTCTTCCCCCTTCCCCCCTCTCTTCCCCCTTCCCCCCTCTCTTCCCCCTTCCCCCCTCTCTTCCCCCTTCCCCCTCTCTTCCCCCTTCCCCCTTCTCTTCCCCCTTCCCCCCTCTCTTCCCCCTTCCCCCCTCTCTTCCCCCTTCCCCCCTCTCTTCCCCCTTCCCCCCTCTCTTCCCCCTTCCCCCCTCTCTTCCCCCTTCCCCCCTCTCTTCCCCCTTCCCCCCTCTCTTCCCCCTTCCCCCCTCTCTTCCCCCTCCCCCCTCTCATCCACGCCTCCTCCACACTCCCCAGTACCCCCTGCCCTCCGCTCATCCGATCGCGGCATTCGGCAGCGCATCCTCTCTGCCCAATCAGCAGCTGCCACGTGTCCCCCTGCAGCCAGGCCTGAGGCGGTGGTGGTGGTGTTTGGCAGAGGCGTGAGGGGGAGTGTGGCAGTGATGGTGGCGAGGGACATGGGGGGAGAGAGGGTGGTGGGGAGTGATTTGATGGGGGAGAAAGGGAGGGAGAGTGTGGAGGGGATGGTGGTGGAGCCTGGTATGGTGGGGGATAGTGTTAGGGAGAGTGGAGGGATTGCGGTTGGAAGAGAGAGAGTATGCAGTATGATCGGTGGGGAGATGAGAGGGGAGAGAGAGGAGATCATGGAAGAGGGAGGCATGATGGAGGAGGGAAACACGATGGGTGGGTTAGGAGATGCGATGGTGGAAGATGCGGAAGGGTGTATGGAAAGGGAGGAGGATGAGACGGCAGACAGCTGGGACGAGGAAAATGATGAGGAGGAGGGTGATGAGGAGGAGGGCGATGAAGATGACTTCCGTGTGCTGGTTAGTTCAGAGAGGCAAATGAGATGGTGTGAGAGAGGAGGAGGAGGAGGAGGAGGAGGAGGAGGAGGAGGAGGAGGAGGAGGAGGAGGAGGAGGAGGAGGAGGAGGAGGAGGAGGAGGAGGAGGAGGAGAGGAGGGGGAGGAGAGAAGGAATGGTTGGGGAGTGCGTGCATGCAGTTTGATGGGGATGCTGGTGCCTCACATGCTGCTGACGTGGCGCATGGTGTATGGTTCCGTATTTCCACGCGTGCGCTGCCAGCACATGTGGCAAGGCTGCTGGACTTTTTGCACGCTCAACCGTCCAATCAGCTGCTTGCTCAACCGTCCAATCAGCTGCTTGCTCAACCGTCCAATCAGCTGCTTGCTCGACCGTCCAATCAGCTGCCTGCTCATGCTGGTGTGGCAGACGGTGCATGTGGCAGTGAAGCTGCACATGCACACCCACCAGACAAAAAACCTGAGTTACCACCTGAGGAAGGTGGTGTGATTGATGCGAAGGGGTCAGGTGGAGTGCTGAACCTGGATGTGACAGCAGCGGTGGCTCTGGTATCAGAGCTTTCATATGGGGGCGCACAGCGGATCGCAGGCTTGGCAGAACCGGACCTGCGGGCGAGGTTCGGAAACACGTGGCAGTTCATGAGAGATCAGGTTGGTGGGTGGTGGGTTGTGGGTCGTGGGTTGTGGGTCGTGGGTGGTGGGTGGTGGGTGGTGGGTGGTGGGTGGTGGGTGGTGGGTGGTGGGTGGTGGGTGGTGGGGAGGGTGGAAGGGGGGATGGTAGTGAGGCAAGGCAAGTGGGAATGGCTTTGGAGAGTGTGATAGGCGTTGAGAGGGTTAGTAAGGGGTTGCGTGGGGTTGAGAGGCAGTGGTGAGATTCATCTATCAGGCAACCCACCAATTGTATCTGGTAGCTTGTTTCTGCGCTGGTGTGCTCCTGTGTCCACACATACATGAAAATCTCACGCATGATAAGCTCATGCATGATAAGCTCATGCACGATACTTCTTGTATGATATACATCGTGTATGAGATGAGCATGGCGGGTGGCTTGGCTTATCATGCATGAGGGCCTCCCATGCGTGTTTCTTCCATGACTCTCTCTTCAGGCATCAACTCTCTCCTTCTCACAAGTTTCACCCTGGCGGCTGGCTTGGCTGGACTGGCTTGGACTGGCTTGGACTGGCTTGGACTGGCTTGGATTGGCTTGGATTGGCTTGGATTGGCTTGGATTGGCTTGGATTGGCTTGGCTGATCGTGCATGAGGGCCCTTCATGTTTGCTGCTTCCCTAAGCCTCTCTTCAACCAGGTAGTCTCTCCTTCTCACAAGTTTTGGTTGCCAAGTAACTTTCTGCCCACACATGCCCCCACCCACCCATTCGTCAATTGCCAGGCACAAGCCGAACTGGCCCAGCCTCAGCTTCAGCTTTTGCAGGAATCGCTTCTCAACAGGGACTTGATCATGTGTGAAACGGCTTATAAAGAGTTCTCTTCTATCGTGGATGTCATCGCTGGACCCAGGGAGAAGCAGAGAGCTGCTGCTCTGTTTTCTTCTCATGTCAGGTATGCAAGGCAGGAACCCGGGGCAGGTGGCAGGCAGGGTGATTAGCACTGACTAGCCGCATTACTCCCTGTTACCCATTTTTTCCTCATCTAACAGATTTTCTTAACATGATTTTCTCTTATCTTACACACAACAACAGAGTGGTTCCGGATCAGCCCTCGTCTAGGCTGCTCTCTCTGCCCTCCACTGCACGAATCAAGCAGCGCCATGTCATCATCTTCGGGACGGCCGACAGCTGGGGTTGCGCTACACTCTCTGCCAGCTCAGCATTTGTTAGGGCGGCACGCCATGCTGGCGCACTGGTGAGAGTGGTGGAGCACCGTCCATGTGCGCTGATGGGGGAGTGAATCAACGGCGAGACTGAAATACGGTATGAGGTGAGGAGATAAAGTTGCATTGGAGTGGAGTACATTGGATGCTAGAAATGAGGGTGCTCCTACTATATATATGTCAGCCGATCTGTCATGTAGTCAGTGAGATGTGATGATACTGCTGAAGATCTCAGGTGTTTTTCTTGATGGGCAAGAGCTTGTGCTCCCAATAAAGGTCACTTGCCCCAATTTCAGTGTTCATTTCTTGATTGACCAATCCTTCCTTATTTGCCTTGAATATTGAGGCGCTGTGTTTTTGTTCCTTGTCCTCTTAGAACGCCACCGAACTCCTACAAGCAATATTCAACCCTTATCGAAGCCTACACTGTTTGTCTCCAAGCCAAAACCTCAGCTTGCACGTACGGTTGTCACCTTGGTACACCCAATGAAATTTCACAACCAGAAAGCCCCGTGAGGCTCGGATGCGCTGCTCACCAGTAGCGACCAAACACAACCAAACCGAATCTTTTTCCCCCCCCAGCCGAGACCAGACCACAGCAGTCGCCGCAGCCTAGTCACCGTGGCAGATGAATCTCGATTTCGGCTTGGCGGTGGAGGCGGTACACCTAACCACCGCTATTTTCTTTCGGTCTATTTTCAACCCCCACGTGCGCAAAGGGGTATGCACCCCTCAAACATTTTTTACCAAGGGTTGTGTCGGACGTCATACGCTCTACGCAGAGTTAGTTCCTGACTCCTGAAAGCTGCGCAATGGGATGCGCAACAGGAAGCAGACTCCACACGAGCGGAAATTGTCTTACACTCGCCCGATTAAAATCTCCAGCGTCCAGCATTTGACGTCATTCGTAGTCCCCCATACCGAGGTTTCTAACAGAAAACCCCGAAAGCTGGGCAGGGTTTATATGAAAATCGGGAACAGTGCCAAGGTGGGAAGTTGAAAATAGCGGTGGCTAGGTGTAGTGTGTCCCGCCCACTCTCATCCCACATCAGCCACCTCCAACATTCGCAAAACCTTCTGCGCGCTTCGATTTCCCCCAGCCATTCGTGTGGTGCATTTTTGAATTGTCGCGCGTCGCGTTTCTGCTAAGGGCGGGGGCAGCGCGTTCATTTTCCTGGCTTAGCCCGAAACAGTTACCAGATTCAGCGGTTTGTAACCCTGATTTAGGGTAACGTGTGGACACGACGGAGTATACAGTGGATGAACGGTGGCTGTTTTCCGTGCCGTCAACCGAACAAAACACGTACCCACAACGTCCGCGAACAACCCGTGCAACATTTGAGAAAGCCTTTGTGCAGGTTAGCGAAACCGCACCACGACTTCGTCAAGCGCGTACGACCCTCGCAAATCCAAGGGTTCACAAATGCAGATTCGTACCTTCAATTCGGTCGTACAGGGTTACCTCATTGGGTGGGCGGTTGGGCAAAAGTGTGGCGGGTCCTTTGCCTAATTTTGGACGCGCGTGTCCCACCTGGGACACAAACTAAGCGCGGTACAAAAAAGCTACAGTAACCTCCAGATTCGACGGGTGTCAAAATTTTGTAAAAGTGGCGAAAATGAACGCGCTGCCCCCGCCCTAAGCTGGTGGGGAAGATGGTGCTCCGTATGCGGGTTGTGGTGGTGTCATGCCATGGCGTGGGAGCGTCCCTCCTTCGCATCGCAATAGCTTTGGCTTCTTTCGGAGTTGGTACAATTCGCGCCTATTCCTCTCGACGACTAACCACATCTGCTCCTCAAGCAACTATTAGAGTGGGCGCTGCGGGCTACGACCGACAGTAGAGTTATTGCGTCACCGCATCACCACGACGATTCACTCAAGCAGCTACACGCCACCGATGCCACTTCTGAGGCGGCTCTCAAACAGTTCGCCGATTCTAGGTCTTGCTTGAAGTCCGCGTAGTTGAGCATAGCTTGCAGATATTACCTTGGCTGCTTCTATGTGCTTTTGAGCAAGTCCGCTTCGCATCATATCAGAGTAGCGTAGATGCATTTTGCCCTGTGCTCCAGCTGCCTCTCACAAGCTCAAATCGACAATTAGCCTGACACACATATTTGTTTTCCCCTAAAATGGCGGCGACGGCGTCCTGCCGTCCCCCCACCCCCGCCACTAGTGGCGGATTAATCGCGAATCGTTACCGCCGCATCCGACTCGTCGGCCGCGGCTCGCAAGGAACCGTGTGGGAGTGCGAAGACGTGATCACCAGCATCCGAGTCGCGTGTAAGAGCTTCCCCCATGGAACCGCTTCAGTTAGCGACGCGCGCCTCGGCATCTGCGCCGAGCTTTGCGGGTTGAAGATGGTGTCAGGCCATCCTAACATAGTGCGGCTCGTCGAGTTCGCTGTAGATTCCTCTGAGGTTCACATTATTATGGAGCTTGCCCCGGGCGGTGACGATCTACTGTCGGAGATCATGCGGCGCGGTCCGCTCGCCGAGCCGCTCGCCGCAAACGTTTTCCGTCAACTCGCGTCGGCCGTCGCGTTCTGTCACGCATGCGGCGTAATGCATCGCGACGTGAAGCCCGACAACGTGCTGCTCGTGCGAGTGGACCGTTGTTCACAGCAGCGCCCGCCGTCCGCGCCGCCGCCGCTAACTCTTCCGCCGCGAGACGGCGGAAACCACCGCAACGCGCTCCTTGCGCCAGCTGCGCAGCAGCGTCCGCCATCCCCCCCGTCCCCGCCGCCGCCTCTGACGCTTCCGCCTGCGCCGCACTCCTCCAGTGTCGCTTCTAACAGCTGCTTCGATAACCCAACACGGGCGATCATGTCTGGAATAGATAGCCCGGTTTGTTGTAACGAGGCGAACTTCAACAGTCCTGTGGCGAATCGTGAACCGTTTAGCAAGATGGATGAAAACAGCAGCAGCACCAGCAGCAGCATGTGTCACCGCAGCAGCAGCAGTAGCAGCGGCGGCAGTAGTGGCGGTGGGAGCAGTAGCAGCGGCGGCAGTAGTAGCGGTGGGAGCAGTAGCAGCGGTGGCAGTAGTAGCGGTGGGAGCAGTAGCAGCGATGGCAGTAGTAGCGGTGGGAGCAGTAGCAGCGGTGGCAGTAGTAGCGGTGGGAGCAGTAGCAGCGGTGGCAGTGCTGTTACCAAACGAGATATCAAAAGCGTTTTCTCCAGGAGCTTCCCTGCTTGTTCCAATAAAAGCACGTCTCTCACCCTCCTCCCCGCAAACCACTCCGACCCCGCACGCAACCCGCGCTCCCCCTCCCCCTCCCCTTCTCCCTCCCGTTTTAATCCCGCCTACTATTCCGCCCCGTTTCCGATCGCCTCTTCCGCCCCGCCGGATCCCGCTTCCCCCGCTCCCCTCGCTGCCGCGATTTCCCCCGACCGCGGAATTGTTGGGGTGAAACTAGCCGATTTCGGCGCATCGATTGCGGTCAAGGGCGGGCTTTCTGGGCGTGTTAGAGACCGCGGCGCTGGCACGAGGGGGTATAAAGCGCCAGAAATGGGCGGGAAAAGCGGATACGACATGAAAGCTGATGTGTACAGCATGGGGATCACGCTGTGCGCGATGCTGACGGGTCACATTCCTGACGCCCCATTGGTCGACTTCTGCTCGCCCATCTGGAAGGGCGTGTCTTCTGACGCAAGGGATCTCATCCGTCGGATGCTCGAGGACGACCCAGATCAACGGCTGAGCTCGTTCGAGGTTCTTGAACATAGGTGGCTGAATAGAAGCGAGGTCCGGAATCTGGACATAGCAACTAGGTGCCCTTCGTTATTAGCATCTTTGCTACCATCACCTTCGCCGTTATCCCCCCCTTCCCCAGGAAAAGTGGCAGCAACCGCCGCAATAGCCTCAGATACAGCTGTACCAGCAGACTCTCTGGCTGTACCAACAGATTCTCTGGCGTTTGCGTGGACGCCACGTGGCAGCTCGTCGTTTTCGTTTTCGTCGCCGCCTGGTGCAGGGGGTGTGTCGACGCGTCAAAGAGGAATTTCGGTTTGCACGAGCTGTGCTTCAATAAGCTGCGCCTGAGCTCTTGCTGTCCAGCTGAAAGAAATATTATCAGTAGCTTCTGACTGCATGGGATCCGTCCCCACTGGTAAATACAACACACATATACCTGCCTGCCATTAATACCTGGGCATGGAAAGATGGTTTTGTGTTTGAAAATAACCACCGACAGATTGTGGTTGAGTGAAGTGTACTCAAGCCATGCTAGCTAAGAAAATATTGGTTGTAAAACTTGAGGTGTAGTGATTTCTCTCCTGGCTTACTCTTGACGATTATTGTTGTGGGGAGTTGTTGATTTATGTGTCAACGTGCCATCATTTTGTCCCCCCTGGTCCAGGACGCGTCTTGTTGATTCTGTTACAAACGCGGAGCGGAACCTCAGGCTCCCAACGAGATTCATTGTTTTGATCTTTCTGGGATCCTAACTAACTGAAGTCGGGTAGGGAAGGAGGAAGAGTTGCTGACGATTGCCCAGAATGTCATGAGTATGTACAGTATTCACCTTGCATTTGCAGGGTATGGCCGGACCCTCCATTTTCTCTCCAATACTGTAGTCCCTGCCCTTCGCAGCTTCCTCCCTCTCATCGAGTCCGCCGACGGTGGTAGGTCCCCCGAAACGCTTAGGGAGCAGAGCTCGACATTCCGTGCGTACAGTATTTCCCTTTGGCAGGGAGGGCATGTCTCTCTCAAAAGCCCCTCTCGTTTCTCTCTCGCAACCTCAAAAGAGGCGTGCGTCATGATGAAAACCACGACAATGTCACTTCGAGATGGATGGGATCATGAAGGGGATGTTATGAGCCACCGCCCACGCGCGCACCAGGCTTCTTGCCTCCTCGTGCCGAACCACGAGGCCCGGAGGTGCTGAAGGCTGATCCGAACCACTGGACACTCAGCTCGGTTTTGGATGCTTGTATGCTTGGTAACCTTCCTGTCGCCAAGTTACACAGGTATGGAAGATATTTCTCTTGCGTCAAGTCCCATAAGCGATCCAGCGAACAGCAAAAGGTTAATTTGCGAAATACGTTACTTCGTGATTCACGACGCGCTGTCGAGAGAAAGGATGCAGTGGGGTTGATGCAGGAACCCAGCTGGTGGACCAATCGCCAGCTCTTGCAACAGCGAAGCAACGTAAGAACAGACCTTTCTTCGCTGATGGGGAACCAGCGCGAGCGAACTACAGTAACAGAAATGCACCAGGCGAACATGCGAAATAATGGATAAGGCTGTGCCTTCGCGCAAACAGGTCTGCATTCCTCCTTCCAAAAGCGGCCAACGTGCTGACAGAGATTCAAGGAAGGAAGGTTTACAACTTCTGCAGTGGGCCCAGTTGTGCCAGATGCAATCCCTCGCTCCAAAACCAGATGAATTTCCTACCTCAACATAGGCTGGTTTCTACGGGAAAAATAGGAGATCGTTCCCGATACCATTGGGGCGCGGTGGGAGACGGTCAACTACCCCGTTGGACATACACGTAGACCAGAACATACTAGCCCAAACCGTGCTAGTAGTAGCGTGACTGTTCATCGATGTCATCACCGAAGGCCCTTACCTCGCGTGCGCGTATGCAGTCATCGGCATCCAGTAGTCGCAGACTCGCAAACAGATGCAGACTGCGCAACGGGAATGATGCCGAACGTCAAGTATCAACGTGGCTAGTCGTCCACGCATGTCATGTGCGGCGGGGGATGAGGTATGCTGCCACCGTACTGGTGGTTCTAATTCCATGACTCAGCAGCGTGCGTCTCCCAATATGAATCACACGACCTCTCACCTACTACACCGGATGCTCTTCTGATATCCACTTGATTTCCGGGCGGTTGCTCCTCTCTTGGGTACGCAACGTCCAGCTGCAAAAAGGGACTTCAAACTTCGGTTGCACGGGGTTACGTAAGGCATCGGTGAACAGAGATTTTATACGCCTGTTCTTTCTGCGTGCATTCGGCCGCCTTTCCGGGTCGGTGCACTGCGCAGGGGCCGGTAACGCGTGGGGAAATTTTATTAGAGTCTTTGTGAGAGAAAGCGTTTGATGAGCACGGGAAATTTTATAGAGAGGGCCTTTGACTGAGCATCATGTGTACTCGGTTGCGAATTCTCGGGTACAAATTGAGCCGTCAGATGTCTCCTTGGCAGCAGTAACATTTCATCTCCTGGCAGACCAGCCGATTTCTTTCAGAACTCGAAACATAGTCTTGCGTAACTCAAGCCCCCCTCCCGTTTTCAGAAATCAACGTTACGCAGCCGCCTAGAAAAGCGCTCATAATCGTTGCTTGCGGGATTGAACCGCCTCACAGTAGGATCGCCGGATCCCATCAACGCTAATTCTGCTGCCATGGCTTACGCTGTGGAACCTCAGGAGCAGCGACGACTCCTCGGACGAACCTCATCATGTAGCAGTGGTGGTTACCATCATCGCGGACTGGAAGGCTCGCTGCGCATCCGCGTCGACGCACTGGATATGGACTATGTAGATTACGTCAGCAGTGACGTAGCGATCGGCGATATCGTGTACCTGGGAGATTGTCGGGTGCCGATAGTACCCTGTCACGTGGAGGTGACTGCATCGGGTGCATTGATGGGATTTCGCTACGCCGTGGAACTGACCGGGGACGAGGAGGAGGACGAACATGGTGATAACGACGAAGCGTTGATGCAGCGAAGGGAGAAGATTCTCGGAGCGCGAAACGGCACTCCTCGCGTTGTTGCGGATGGCCATGGCAGGGAGTGTGACATGAACAAACCCAATCACTTCAGAAGTGCCTCCCTGCAGTAATGCAGCGATAACGGCGAGAGGGGATCCGTGGAAAAGCGACATGTCGTCAGTGAATAACCAGAAGGCCATGTGTATATACAATAAACGGTGCTTGTAGCGCAATGTAGGGTAGTTGGGCCTTGCTGGTGGGAAGACTGTTTTAGACATGTATGCATGCATAAATTGACTGACTTCTTCGCAGCCAGATTGTTTTGCTCTGAGACACAAACATAACATTCACATTTATGCAGATGAGAATGCTCCTAAAATCACACTATCTGCGTCCCGTCCGGTTCTGTCCCTCACCGTCCATTCGCGCCTCGTCCCGCCCTTTTGCGTCCCTTCCCGTCCCGTCCCTTGTCGTCCCGTCCCGTCCCGTCCCTAACATACCCAATATGAATGTCCCCATACCACTACGACTCGCGTATAAACGTGCACTCGCCATGTGCGTCGCCTTGTTTATTGCGTCGAATCTAGTCGTCCCTTTAAAGACGTCGCCTCATTTCGCTCATGAGGTACGTCACTGTCATGCGATTCTACTGTCTCTGGCATCGAAAGTAGGCGTTCTCTGGCGTGGCAGGAAAACAAAATAGCTTCGCTTCTTCTCTGCTATCACCGACCGAGGTGGCTGTCTCTTATTTCTTCACCGCTCTGACAATTCTAGCTTAGCCCTCGCATCACAGCCCCCTTACCTCCATTTGTCGCACGAGGTATCCCGTCGCTAATTCGGCTTGGGGTTCGCAACGTGCCAGTTCAGTTTGCAGCCAACACAACCTGCCCCGAACCAAACCCCTCAAAATTTGCGACAGACTTGTGGTTACCTTGTTTCAGGCGTATCTCCTTCGGCTGGTTTGGAAGAAACATGTGAAGCGGGTAGGTGAAGTTCGGGAAGGCAAATCAGTTTGTGACAGCCTCAAGAAACGTGACAACCAAGGGACAACATCATCTACATGCAAATTATGCCAGTGCGATTTGCGAATGCATCTGTCGGCCGTCAGTAAAGGCGCTGCAGAACCGTTAACTGCCCGCGGTCCGGATGACATACGATCGGGGAGCCTCAACCCTAAACACGGGTAACCCTGTGTTTTTTCCGCCGGGCCGACATGTTTCCTCTGATTCCGTCAATTGCATACAATCGCAAACCCGCACTGGCATAATCTGCATGCCAGTGGAGTTGACCGTGACAACCAATTACCAGCCAGTGGAACTTGCTTGGCACGAAAAGACAACCGTTTAATCGCAGGTTTGCCTCGCCTTGACCTACTCCGAACCAGAAACCAAGTCACCACAAACCACCACTTCATACCGAACCAGTCTCCCTAGAATCTGGTTTGCAAATCTCCCAGACCTGGACCACACAACCATCCCTCGGGTCCTGGACTAGCCCCAGCCCTCGTCAGCACGCATCACGGCAAGCAAATGTCCAGTCAGGTGATCAGCGTTATCGTACTCAACCGTTCTCAAAGCCCACTCATGACGCACCCCGAAAGCCCTGGATTGTTGGTGTGTGGGGGACAATGCTTGCCCCTCCCCGCCTACTACCGTACTGTACCGCGGAAACTTGCCTTGCCTTGTCTACTTGCAGCCATCATCACCATGAAATTCCCACCAGCGCGCTTTCAAGTTCGAGTGCGGCAACTTCTATGGCAGCTGTCCCTCTGCAGAAGCTAACAGACCGGTATAGCTTGCTGTCCTCCTCCGTGTCCTCGTCTCGAGATTTTCACTTGACAAGCCCGTGCGCGGTCCGAAGCATGGCAGATTCGTTGGAATATCCAGTTTCAAAGTCGGCGCGCTCGCTCGTTTTCAGTCAACCAGCGTAGCACTCCCTTCGATATCAGATTCCCGTGTGCGACTTCGTGCTTGCTCATAACCTGCCACTTACCATTCTGAGGCTATTACTGAGCTCGGGTTTGAAGATGTTGGAATATTTCACTCGCGGCTTGCATCAGGCGGCAGACGAGCTCGGAGCACCTTTCTTTCTCTCAGCCATGCAGCTACTGTCGTTTGTAACAATCCCGCTCTTTCTCCCGGCTGTCCTCCTTTCCACTATGGCTACTCTCCTCCTACCTCTCGCCTCGTCTTGGCCTCTCACCTACCTCCGACAGTTTCCCTTGATCGGCCTTCACGTCGACAGCATCGTCGTTCTTTTAGGAAAGATTTCGGATCAGAAATGGACGAGCGACGCGACGACGATTTTCCGTAACCTGTCCACGTCGTCGTCGGCTGGCGAAAGCCTTCGCAACCGGCGCACGCGATCCTGGGACAAATTTCTAACAGATAACATCTCGGCTACCATCCGTCCTCTCCATTTCACTGGATCTGCTGCTAATCCCGACCCCTCTTCTTCTTCGTCTTCTTCCTCTTCCGTGGAACGCGCGTTGTGTCAGTCCCTCTGCCTGATGACGGACCTTCCGTCCACATCTCCCAAGTACGGTTTCATCCGGAGCGTAGCGGAGGAGCTGCTACGAGCCAACGACAGCTCCAAAGAGCTCAATCTCTCCGAAGCCAATCGACGAGCGCTTCTCCAGGCGTTTTCCCGGACTATTTCCCGCCTCGAGAGCGCCTTGAAACGCGGGCAGGCGTCGACGTTTGGTCTCACCCAGATTCTGGATCAGGTTTCTCGCGGCGCGGCTGCTGCTGCTGCAGTGGCCGTGGCCGCTAGCGGCGGAGGAGGCGGGATCAGCGGAAGCAGCGGAAATGGGGAGATTCGGCGGATGGCTGGCGGAAATGGCGGGGAGAATCCTCAGGCGGAGAAGCTGTCTCAGGAGCTGCTATGGCTGGTGCTGAAGCTTCAGGGTCGAAAGGGAATCGAACAAGTGGTGGAGGTCTGGGCGGAGGCTCGGGTGCTGTCTGAGCTGGCAGTACGATCTTCGGCACGTGTGCAGCTGAATCTTCTCAAGCTAACGTGTATTGTGCTGGATTTGGTCTCTTCCCACGTGGTGTCATGTGATGTGAAGTCGCAAGAGCACCTGCTGCTGCACTGGATGCCGTTGCTGTGTCAGTGTCCAAACACATCTGACGGCCTGCTCTCCACTGACAGTAACCGACAGGTATGTCTGCTTTTTAATGGGCTATCTGATGGTGAGTGATGATGTGGAACCCGTTTTCACCACCACCCCTTCCCCATATTCAGAATTTTCCAACTTTTCATACCGGTATTTCAATTTCCTAAAAAACTTCCAAGCCTTCTTTTTCCTTCCGGCCCTCCCCCCCTTCCTGTCAGCATCACCTACCCTTTTTTCCTGCTCAATTGTGCACACTCCTGATCATAAGTCCAATGGCCGTTCGGATTGTTCCTTTTTGGCAGAGGACCGAGGAGGACATGTGCATGATGATCTCTCGCCTGCCTGCTGCAAGCCAGGAGCTGGTGTACGTGGCATGGCTGCATGAGTACACGTGGTCAACCTCTGATTGGCCAAACCTGCACCCTGCCTTCCTCCACTGGTGTGACACTTCCCGGACTAACCCTGACCAAGTTACCACTAACCACGGTGAAGCTAGTCAAGTAAGCATGTAGATTGTAGACCTATTTTTTGGACTGACATGTAATCATCAAGTGGTATTGTACGATGCATTTGGTTTGGAAGGCATGATATGCACAGCGTGTATGGTGTGTCATTGTGTTACTGTATTATGTCAATAACAATGTCATGGTGGTTGATTCACCAGTCTCCATGGTCTGGAAGTGATCAAACTGGATGAACCACAGCCTTGCTATTGAGATCACGCTTGCTAGGTGACAGCATAATTTATTTTCCCACTGGTAGTGTACCGTAAGAAACTCCTACCCTACCTACATAAACATTTCTTCCTATCTAACTCAGCTAGCTGCAGGGGCCACTCAGACCATTAGAGGCCACTTGGGGTCTCCCTTCCTGTAGCATACTGTAACATACGGTAATTGGTATGGCATGAATGACGAATCCTATCATACATGCATAAGGATTCGAGCTGGAAATGTGGTAACACAGTTACACAGATGTGAGGATCATGTTAAACTGTATTATGTTGGTAGGCTGTAGTGGGGTAGCCAATATGGGGTACAACCCCAACTAGGGTTTGCTACTTGTACCCAATTCTTCCATTCAATGCATCATTCTTGCCTAGTTCTTCTGAAATGGTATCAGAGCAGGAGGTCCCTAGGACCTACCGACCGTTTTTTTAAGGGCCCACCACCGCTCGCATGCGGTTACCACGCTACCCCGCGTGCCGTAGCCTCGTAGCGCCCTCGTGCGCCCTCGTTAGCGCCCTCGTGCGCCTCTCGTTAGCGCCCTCGCGCGCCCTCGCTAGCGCCCTCGCGCGCCCTTGTTAGCGCCCTCGTGCGCCTCTCGTTAGCGCCCTCGCGCGCCCCTCGCAGCGTCGCCCGCCCGCCGAGCCGCCCGCTCGCAGCGTCGCCCGCCCGCCCGCTGCCCGCTTCGCAGCGTCGCCCGCCCGCCTCGCTGCCCGCTTGCAGCGTCGCCCGCCCGCCCGCTGCCCGCTTCGCAGCCCGCCCGCCGCGCTGCCCGCTCGCAGCGTCGCCCGCCCGCCTCGCTGCCCGCTTGCAGCGTCGCTCGACGCCCGCTGCCCGCTTCGCAGCCTGCCCGCCGCGCTGCCCGCTCGCAGCGTCGCCCGCCCGCCCGCTGCCCGCTTGCAGCGTCGCCCGCCCGCCCGCTGCCCGCTTCGCAGCCCGCCCGCCGCGCTGCCCGCTCGCCGCGTCGCCCGCCCGCCCCGCTGCCCGCTTCGCAGCCCGCCCGCCGCACTTCCCGCCTGCAGCGCCGCCTGCCCGCCGCGCTGCCCGCTTCGTAGCCCGCCCCCCGCACTGCCCGCTCGCCGAGTCGCCCGCCCGCCGCGCTTCCCGCCGAGCTACCTACCTGCAGCGCTGCGGCAGCTTCCTTACTCAGTCGCACTGTCACTATGGCTTCCATCCGCGTGCTGTCGTTCGATGCTGAGGGCCGCCCTGTGAAGTTCGCCACTTGGCTGGATGACCTGCAGCTGTTCCTTCTGAGCGATAGCAAGGAGCATGTGTCGCTCTATGATTACGCGTCTGGTGCTGCACCTGCCCCTCCTGCCACAGCTGAGCTTAGTGTTCGTTCCCACTGGCAGACTCGTGACGCAGCTGCTCGCCTAGCCATTCGCAGTCACCTCCCGCTAGCTGAGCTCGAGCATTTTGGCGACTGCAAATCCGCTAAGGCCCTGTACGATGCTGTCGTTGCTCGCTACTCCTCGCCTGCCACAGCCGAGCTTAGCCGTCTCATGCTGCCGTACCTGTTCCCTGAGCTGTCCACCTTTGCTACAGTCGCCGATCTTATCACCCACCTTCGCACTAGTGATGCTCGCCTGCGTGCTGCCCTTCCCACCGAGTTCTGCGCTAAGAATCCCCCTCCACTGTACTGGACACTCCACTTCATAGTCACCCGACTCCCTGACACCCTCAGCTCAGTTCGAGACCACTTCCTTGCTCGCTGTCCCACTGAGCTCACAGTCGCCCTCCTAGAGGAGCAGCTGCTAGCGGCCGAAAAGAGCATTGTAGCTGTCGGTGCTGCTCGTGGCGCTCCTCGCACCCCCATCTTTGAGGGGTGTTCTCCCTCTCCCCTCGCTCCCTCCTACGCTACTGCTGCTGCTGTTGACTTCCTTGGTGCTGAGTCTGCTGGCGCTGCTTCTGCTCCTGGTGGGAGGCGCCGCACCGGCAAGGGCAAGGGGGGCAAGGGTGGCGGGGGTGGCGCTGGGGGGGGAGGAGGTGGGGGAGGTGGGGGGGGAGGCGGTGCTGGAGGGAGCGGTGGCGGGAGTGCTGGTGGGAGTGGGGTCGGCAGCGGAGGCGGGGGCGGCGGAGGGAGCGGTGGCGGTGGTGGCGGCGGCGGCGGTGGCGGCGGCGGCGGCGGTGGCGGCGGCGGCGGTGGCGGTCGGAGCGGAGGTAGTGGTGGTGGCGGAGGTCGGAGTGGAGGCACTGGCTCGGGCCAGAGCTCCCAGCAGCAGCAGCGTCCCCAGACGACCCAGCAGCTTCGTGAGTGGCTTGCTCAGCGTGGGACGTCGGGGGGCAATGGCCGCTGTTCCTATGTCATTCGCACAGGTGACCGCAAGGGACAGACGTGTGGGAGGTTCCACACCCCGTACCGCTGCTTCTCCCGCCTTGACGACGCTTGGCGTGAGGAGATGGGCGAGGATGTTGAGCGCCCCCGCTGGGCTGAGCTCATGAGGGCTGGTGTTGATATCTTTGCTCTTGACTATGATGCTATTATTGCTGCCATGTATGCATTGACTGTTAGTGCCGAGGGAGACTGTTACTTGTGTGTGCCGCCTGACCCAGGTATAGAGCCCGCTGCCCTGGGTACTAGTGAGTCTGCTCTCTCCGGTATGGTGCCCCCTGTACTTGCTCCCTCCAGTGCTGTCCCGGCTGTTTGCGAGTCTGCTCTCTCAGGTACAGCACCCACAGAGACTGCTCTCTCAGGTACCGCACCGGCTGAGGCCTGTCACACCTTCACCCTTGACTCAGGTGCTTCCCGCTGTTTCTTTCGTGACAGTACTGAGCTCACACCGCTTCCTGCACCGGTCCCAGTCTCCTTGGCTGACCCCTCTGGGGGCCCAGTCCTTGCCCAGTCCACCACTGTGCTCCCTTGTCCGGCGGTTCCGTCTGGCTCGTTGTCGGGTTTCCACCTCCCCTCGTTCTCGACGAACCTGGTGAGCAACGCTGTCATCCAGGATCAGTGGGTTGACACCTTTACCCCTGGAGGACAGCGTGTGGCGATCTGCACGTGCTCCAGGACCGGCCGTCACCTGGCTACGTTTACCCGTCGGCCGGGGTCGAGTCTCTACACACTGACCACTGCGTCTCCTCAGGTCGCTGCTGTCGGTCAGGTGTCCGCGTCAGGTCTGGTGGCCCACGCCTGTGAGTGTCGTTCCCTGTCACACCAGACTCTTCTCTGGCACCACCGCCTGGGTCACCCCTCCTTGCCACGCCTCCGTGGCATGCACCGTCACCGCCTTGTGTCTGGTCTTCCCAGGTCTCTCCCTCCCCTCCCTGCCTCGCCTGCGCCGCCTTGCCTTCCTTGCGTCGAGGGGCGGCAGCGCGCCGCCCCTCACTCCTCCTCGTTCCCCCCGACAGAGGCTCCTCTGCAGACCCTCCACCTGGACGTGTGGGGCCCAGCCCGCGTTCGTGGCCAGGGCGGTGAGCGGTACTTTTTGCTGGTTGTCGACGACTACTCGCGTTACACCACGGTCTTCCCCTTGCGCACCAAGGGTGAGGTCCCTGCTGTTCTGATCCCTTGGATCCGCACAGTTCGTCTCCAGCTCCGCCGCCGTTTCCGGACGGATCTTCCTGTCCTGCGTCTGCACTCTGACAGAGGTGGTGAGTTTTCCTCCGATCTCTTGAGGACCTTCTGTCAGGCGGAGGGCATCGAGCAGACCTTCACGCTTCCGGACTCCCCACAGCAAAATGGGGTTGCTGAGCGCCGCATTGGCCTGGTCATGGAGGTCGCTCGTACCTCCTTGGTCCACGCGGCGGCTCCCCATTTTCTGTGGCCGTTTGCTGTCCGGTACGCCGCGCATCAGCTCAACCTCTGGCCCCGTGTCTCCTTGCCGGAGACCTCTCCCACACTGCGTTGGACGGGGGAGGTTGGCGATGCGTCGCGCTTCCGGGTGTGGGGTGCTCGTGCCCTTGTCCGCGATACGTCCGCGGACAAGCTCTCCTCCCGCACACTTCCCTGTGTCTTCCTTGGCTTTGTCCCTGACGCGCCGGGCTGGCAGTTTTACCACCCCACCTCGCGCCGGGTCTTCGCCTCTCAGGACGTCACCTTTGACGAGTCGGTCCCTTTTTACCGTCTCTTCCCCTACCGCACTGCCCCCCTCCCTCCCCCGCCGCTTTTCCTTGCTCCTGGTCCCCCTCCGGTAGACCCCCTTCCCCCTCAGGGTCCTGCTCCTTCAGGTGTCTCTCAGGTAGACCCTCCTCCCGTCGCTGAGCCTGTCGAGGTCACAGGTGACTCAGGTGCTGCTGCAGGTGGTGCTGCTGGGAGTGCTGAGCCTGGGGGTGCTGAGCCTGCGGGTGCTGGGCCTGGGAGTGCTGGGACTGCGGGTGCTGGAGCTGAGGGTACTGTGCCTGGGAGTTCGGCGCCTGGGGGTGCTGAGCCTGGGGGTGCTACGACTGGGGGTGCTGAGCCTGCGTGTACGGAGTCTGGGGGTGCTGAGCCTGGGGGTACTGCGCCTGAGGGTACTGGGCCTGGGGGTGCTGCTGCTGAGCCTACGGAGCCTGGGGTTGCTGCGTCTGGGGGTGCTCTTCCTGACGGTACTGGAGCTGCTGGAGCTGACGACACTGGAGCTGACGGTTCTGGACACGGTGGTCCTGCTGGTTCTGGAGGTGCTGGCGAGGGGAGGTCTGACGCTGCTGGGGCCTCTGGTGCTGACGTCGCCGACTCGGGGGGTGCTGCGGCGGAGGGTGCTGGTCCAGGTGCTTCTGGTGCTCCGGGTGCTGGAGGTGCTGGCGGAGCTCCGCCGTCGCGCCTGTTCTTCGCTCCTCCGTCGCCGTCGGCTTTGCCGCCGCCTGACACGGTGCTTCGCCAGGTTCTTTCCCTCCCGTCTTCCACTGGCCTTCCCCTTCAGCCTGGCTCCCCCCTCCCTGCTCCTGTGCCTTACACTGCACAGCCGGACTCGCTTACGGAGCGTCGTGAGCCTGCGTCTCGTCCTGCCTCGCCTGTTCGCGCTGCTCGCGCTGCTCGCACTGCGCGCACTGGTCCCACTGGTCGTCGTGTCGCGCGTCCGCGTCCTCCTCCTGTTCCTGGCACGCATATTATGGCCCTTCGTCCTTCCACTGGTCCACAGCGTGTCCCCCTACCGTCTCCTCCTGCGTCTTCTCTTCCTGACGTTCCCGACCCTGAGTCTGACAGTGTTCGTGCTGCCCACCCTACTGTTACGCGTCTTCTCGCCACTGTTGTCACTGACCCGTCGTTTGAGTCTGCTGCTGCGTCTGCCCTGGTCGCTGAGCTTGTCGACTTTGCTGCTGCCTGTCGTCTAGACTACGCCGCCAGTCTTGTTACTGAGTCTGAGTCTGTCTGTCCTCCGTCCGTCGGGGGTGAGTGTGCTCTTGGCACGGACGTCCTTGAGGACAGGCAGGAGGACTTTGACTCTCTTGCGGCTGCTGTACCTCATCTCGTGGCCTGGTTGCTTGCCCTTGAGGGAGACCCGGATGCACTAGACATCCCCACTCCGCGCTCTTACGCAGAGGCGATCTCGGGTCCCTACTCCTCTCAGTGGCAGACAGCCATGGACGCAGAGATGGCATCCTGGAAGTCCACAGGCACCTACGTCGACGAGGTTCCCCCTCCTGGGGCGAACATCGTCGATGGCATGTGGATTTTCAGGGTGAAGCGGCCGCCAGGTTCTCCACCTGTCTTCAAGGCTCGTTACGTTGCTAGAGGCTTCAGTCAGCGTCAGGGGGTTGACTTCTTCCAGACCTTCTCCCCCACCCCGAAGATGACCACTCTTCGGGTTCTGCTACACGTTGCTGCTCAGCGTGACTACGAGCTTCACTCTCTTGACTCCAGCACAGCGTTCCTGCAGGGCAGCCTGCACGAGGAGATCTGGCTGCGCCGCCCACCTGGCTTCACTGGGTCGTTTCCTCCTGGTACCCAGTGGAGCCTCCGCCGGCCAGTCTACGGTCTCCGCCAGGCGCCACGTGAGTGGCACGACACACTGAGGACTACACTTGCAGCTCTTGGGTTCGCGCCGTCTACTGCTGACCCGTCGCTGTTTCTACGCACAGACACGTCGCTACCGCCGTTCTACATTCTCGTGTACGTCGACGACTTGGTCTTTGCTACTGCTGACACTGAGGCATTCGCTCGTGTGAAGTCGGAGCTGCAGAAGAGACACACCTGCACTGACCTGGGTGAACTGCGTAGCTACCTTGGCTTGCAGATCACCCGGGACAGAGCTCGCCGCACCATCACCCTGACTCAGTCACACATGGTGCAGCAGGTCCTTCAGCGCTTCGGCTTCCAGTTCTCCTCACCACAGGCCACACCTCTGGCTACCAGCCACTCGCTCTCAGCTCCACCTTCGGACGAGTCCGTAGAGCCGAGTGGCCCGTACCCAGAGCTTGTAGGCTGCCTCATGTACCTGATGACTTGCACGCGACCTGACCTCGCATACCCTCTTAGCATCCTTGCTCGTTACGTTGCGCCTGGGAGACACAGGCGAGAGCACTGGGAGGCTGCTAAGAGGGTGCTGCGTTACTTGTGCAGTACATCAGGCATGGGGCTGGTGCTTGGAGGACGCGACAGAGTTGTCCTCACTGGTCACTCGGACGCTTCTTGGGTGGACGACCTGGCTACGCAGCGGTCGTCACAGGGTTACACCTTCAGCCTTGGCTCTGGTTCTGTCTCGTGGCGGTCCACCTGCTCTTCTTCTGTTCTCGGCTCTAGTTGTGAGGCTGAGATCTACGCCACAGCCATGGCTGCACAGGAGTTACGCTGGCTCACCTACCTGCTGACTGACTTGGGAGAGCGGCCTAGTTCTCCTCCAGTTCTGTACGGTGACAACAAGGCGGCCCTTGCCTTGTGTTAGGAGCACAGACTGGAGCACAGGACGAAGCATATTGCTCTTCGCTACTTTCTTGCTCGAGAGCTTCAGCAGCGCGGTCAGCTTCGGCTTGTGTACGTGGACTCGAAGGCCAATACTGCTGATATCTTCACCAAGGCGCTCCCGCCTAGTGATCATCAGCGGCACTGTACTTCTTTAGGCCTTGTGTCCACGTTTCCTCATTTGCTTACTGCTTGACTTTCTTTGTACTGTACTTTATATATATCTTGCTGCTTGTCCTGTTCTATATCTAGCACTGCATGTGAACTGGCCTTGTGGCCTTTGCTTGTGCTCGGAGTGTGGTGACGTTGTGATCCACCCTGGGCTTTGCTTTGCTTTGCTGGACTGGTCTTGTGACCCTTTGTTCTCCCCCACTTTGCCTATAGGGGTGTGTTAAACTGTATTATGTTGGTAGGCTGTAGTGGGGTAGCCAATATGGGGTACAACCCCAACTAGGGTTTGCTACTTGTACCCAATTCTTCCATTCAATGCATCATTCTTGCCTAGTTCTTCTGAAAGATCAGCCTCCCAATGCCATGGGCGACGGAGCGGATGCTGGCGCCATGGGGATTGGGTCGTCTGGGTCCTCTGATGGTGGGAGCATGGGGAGGAAGAGACACAGGAAAATATGCAGTGGATATAAGTTTGAAGGCCTCAGAAGCTGGTGCCATGGGGATCAGGTCATGAGGGTCCTCTGATACAGTGAAGCACGGGGAGAACGAGATGCATGGAAGGGAGAGAAAGTCAGTGGTAAATTCATGATCACAAGTACCGTATTTACCCGGCTAATAAACCCCCGGGCTTTATCCTACCCCGGGTAAAATTAAGGGGTGTATTTATTATCAGGGTGTAAATGTATTAGACCCGGGGCTTAATCCCATGTGTTGTTTTTTCCTCCAAGGCACAGTCAAACACTATTGTTACTGCTCGAACTAAACATTTACATTGTCGCGTCAGGTGCTAAATTCGATCACGCGCGTGCGCGAGACCAGCACGTGGCGATTCACTGATGTCAGCTGGAATTTCGGACTGGCTTGACTTTTCCTCCCTACAATTTCACTCGATATGTATGTGTTTACCGAAGAGGGGGTCTAAAGCGGATACGTTACAAAAAAGCGGGTTTATTACAAAAGTGCAGATAGGATTAGACCCGCCCCCATTTAACGACCCGGGGGGGCTATTATTTTGGGGGGGCTATTAGCCGGGTAATTACGGTATGCTATGGCAATTTAGGTTACAGAATAAGGTAGGGTGTAAAACAGGTCGTTCTGATGCCAATCTGACAATACAATGTAAATTTCGAAAAGAGAGCGAGTTCAATAAACGTACCAATATCGTTGTGCACATGGACAATTAGACAGCTCAACACCTGCATGATGCCCTTGAAATAGTTGCTCTCTCTCTCCTGTACGCCGGGCAGATGAAAGGCACGGTATGAAGGAGACTCGGGCAGATGAAAGAAATTGCATGGAGGGAAGTTGGGCAGACGAAACATCAGGGCATGTAGGAAAACGACGTTTCAATCAAGCTGTTTCAAGCCAATGGTTGAAGCAGCATTGACCCAAATGGCACAATAGAAGCCAACCTGAAGCGACATTGACCCACCTGAAGCAACAAGGGCCCACCTGAAGCAACAAGGGCCCACCTGAAGCAACAGAAACCCATCTGAAGCAACAGAGACCCACCTGAAGCGACGTCAACCCACATGAAGCAGGGCGGCGACGACAAGCACTGTCATGCAGAGCGTGGCGGTCTCAAAGAGATGGAAGCTGAGATCATGGGCACTCCTATGGCCCACCCCACCATCACACAGAAGCGGATCTGTAGGCAAGGGAGGGGGAAGGGAAATGGGCAGGAGAACAAAGAGATTGGGAGGCGTGGGGGTGTGAGATGGAAAGAGAGGGATGAGTGTGGAGCAGGGCTTATGTTAGGATTTTTTACAGGTCGGACGAAATGCCACCCCCTTCAAAGTTGCTCTTAAAACCCAGGGTGTACCCAGCATCTTCCCTTGATATTCAGGGCTGTCTTAAGAAAAGCTCGGATAAATCAGAGTTAGTAAAATTTTTGCTCTATTTCACTCCAGAGATAAAGGAGCATGCGATCAATTTAGCACTAGTACCAGTATTAAAGGCTGTCCTTAAAACAATGCATGACATCTAGTTGCACCAACAGTAATTAGTTGCATGAAAATGTTAAAACCTCTACCACTTACCTATCGTCTGCCACCAACCTGCAGGGACGCCTAGACTTCGCATCATCCCACACCTTGTGAACAACACTCCAGTCCACATCATAATTTATCATTTTCACAGCCATTAGCTCGGCGAGCCTCACGTCGTTTAGGCAAGTCCTGTCCCAACTTTTGATGACATTTTGGCGGGAAAACCCACGCTCGCACTCCACCGTGCTCAAGGGAAGCACTGAAACAGCCCTCCACAGATGCACAAGCTGGGGATAATTGGTGGTCCATGCGTTGTTGCTGAGAACGTTGTGCAGGCATTGGTTGAACCCCTCGTTGCGATGATGCCTAGACAAGGTTGCTGTTAGCATGGAGATCTCACCATCACACGCAACTTTGCTGATTCCTGTTTGTTGGTGGTTTAGAAAGGAAGAAAAAATGAGCATAGAACAAAGAAGGAATTTGCAGTTTGATTGGGATGTATTTTTTAAAAAGAACTACTCATTAATAAACAGGGTGGATCGTCTTACCTGGCAGCTTGTTATCAAAGAGGTCGAGAAACTTGTCCAAATGAGTGTTGAATGTTGCATCACGAAGACCCGTGCTCCGATCGGGATACGTCAAGGGCCTGAACAGCTTGGCACCCTCTAGTTTCTCGAGGTCACCGAGTCTTGTTGTCAGCGAGCTCACCAATTTCTCAGCAAACGCCTTACCCAAGGCGTAGCAAGACTCGATGTCTGTCCCGTACACACCACCAATTCCTTCACCATGCAGCGGGATCTCGGTGGTGCAACGGTTACCTTCGTTGTCAACCCCATGAACCACCATGCTGCGCTTTTCGGGGTCGCTGTGATCTCGCAAAAAGGTTGTCAGTCGTCCCTTTTGCCCATCACCAAAACCCTTCACATGTTCGATGTAGCGTTGTCTCAGCAGTGTGCACGCTTCGTCTACATCTTGAGCGACTCGAGTGACATCAATCTGTTGTATGAGGATTATGAAGGCACGTATGCTTATATTAAGGTCAGTAAGTCCGATGCACCTAGTAGAGTGCTTATCAATTAACGTAGAATGGTGTTGTGCTCCACTCAGCCTCGCACTCACTGGCCACACACCTGGCAGCCGCACCACTCACCAGCCATGCACCTTGCAGCCCACACTCACCAGCCGCTTTGATATGCATTGCTTCTCGATATACGTACCTCGCGCTGTTGAAACTTGAGATTCAGATTGTTGAGCACCTCCAGCACATCACACAACAGATAGAGCATGAAAAGGAACTTGAAAGAGCCGGCCATCTTGAAAAGCTTTGCGTTCCCCTGCCTCCACATCCATAGGAGAATCGGCAACACATCACAAAACCGAGCCACTGCTTCCCCTCTGGCGAGCCACCGTATGCTTACAATCCCTAGAACCTCCAAGTCAGTGGATCGGATGACTGATTGCAGATCCATAAACTGTTGCCGTCGAAGATTCGAACGACCCAGATCCTCTGCTGTTGTGTGAATGACTTTGTCAACGACTTGAAGATCTGGAAAAGCGGTTGCTGCATCTTTAGCAGCAAGTGCTTCCCTGTAATACGGTAAGCACACAGCTCAGAGAGTAGTAAACAGATGTTCAATGATTATCCGCAAGCCAGGGACAAGTGCAGCATCAAAGCAGACATGATGGAAGGAAATTACATGGCAACTGAGGGTTCGACAGCAACTAGCATGGCAGCACTATGGATCATGCCAACAAGGTGTATGACAGCAATGTATCACTTGGTCGAACCTGTGAGCAATGCAGTGGGCGGAGAACAGCCACGGGCATCTCTCTCGAAGTCGTCTCACAAGTCCTTGCTTGTCTCCAATCATCACGCTCGCACTGTCAGAATATTATGCTCTAGCCTGTAGTGGGGTGCTCTGTAGCGAGTACAACCCTTCTAGGGTTTGCTATTTGTATCCCCATTCTTGCTAGTTCAGCACTCTTTCTGTTTCTAACCTCTTTTACCTAATTCTCTCGACATGCTATCAGAGCAGGACGATCCTGTTGGGTCGATCCTGTGGGTGGGCCCACCACCAAATGCTTCCGCTGCTGTTCTACTGGTCGCGCGACGCCTCCTTCCTGCCGCGCGCTCCGCGCGCAGCGATTTTTTTTTTTTTTACGGTTTTTTCATCCCGCCGCGCGCTCGGGGCGTGCGGCGGGTTTCTCCCCGCCGTGCGCCCCGAGGCGCGCGGCGGTTTCCTCCCGTGGGGGATGCCCGCGTCCCCCCGATCCCGTCGCCCGCGGCCCCTCGGTCCCGTCGCCCGCGGCCCCCACCGATTTCCCGTCGCGCGGCCCCTCGCTGCCCCGTGGTGGCGTCCTGGGGGCCGCGCGCCGTCCCCCTCGCCGTCCCCCGCGCTCCTTCCCCCGTTCCGCCCGTTTTTAGGGTTTGGGGGTGAGGAGTGTGGGGGTGGCAGCTATGGGGGTGCCGTGTGTGTGCGCCGTCCCCTGCTCCTCCTCCTCCGTCTCCCACTGCTGCAGCTGCCGCTGAGGGGGGTGGATGTGTGGGAGCCGAGGGTTAGGGTTTAAAGGGGGGTGCCGTGGGAGTGGAGCTAGGGGTTCAGCAGGGGGTGTGTGTCGAGGGGTGTGGGACAGTTGGAGGAGGTTGAGCGGAGGTCGCCGTCGTGTCGTCCGCAGCGCCTGTATTCCGGGGGTCGATTAGCCACCGGTAGCTCAGAGAGCCGGTTGCGCCGTCGCCTGTGGGTCCGTTGCTCCTGCCGTGCATATTAGCCGCGGAGCCTGTTACTCCTGTACTCCGGGGCACTCATTCCCGGTAGCCACGTTGTCGCACCAGAGCCGTCTGTTGCCCGTGTGTCTGCAGCTTCAGTCGTCGCCTCCTATCTACTCTCCTCTCGCCAGCCCTCCTCCTCCTCACTTGCCCCCTGTGACTGCCTCTAGCTTTGCTCATAATTGTGAATCTTAAACTATTGCTTCTTGCTTGTGCTCAGAATGTGTGGTGACATCGTGATCCACCCTGAGCTTGTACTGCTTTGTTTCCTCTGCTGATTACACCCCACTTTGGCTATGGGGGTGTGTCAGAATATTATGCTCTAGCCTGTAGTGGGGTGCTCTGTAGCGAGTACAACCCTTCTAGGGTTTGCTATTTGTATCCCCATTCTTGCTAGTTCAGCCTATTCTTTCTGTTTCTAACCTCTTTTACCTAATTCTCTCGACACGCACCGTCCGTGCTGATTCCGACAAGCTTCTGCATGTCAAAGCCTTTCGCATCCAAGTAGGACGATAGAACTGCAAAGATTGAAGCTGCATCACACTTTTCCAGCGAAAGATGCACAAGGAACTCCGTCACTACCCTCAGATCTCGCTCGAAGGTGCAATACACAATCAAATGCTTTCCGTGGGCACGATCGGTCGATTCATCGAGAGAGAGCCCATACCATGGGCTGGCCTGGATGTGTGCATGCTGCACGTCATGGAGATGTGTGGATATTGCGTGCAGAAACTCCCCAGCAGCCCACCTGCATCACCACCAAATACAAAGTTTGAAATCAAAACAGTCAAAGAGGAAATATGCATATCAGTAGTGCGCATACCAAGAGCTAACCGTGCCAAATTGAAATATGTCATAAGAGCATGCAGTGATTACTTACGTTGAATAGTAACGTGCATACATCTCCCCCTTAGGCATGTCTTCCATGCCCTCATCCGCTAGCCACCGCGCAAACACAGGGTACATGGAGATAGGGACGTCATGCTGTGCAAGAAAATAGCAGACCTTCATCGCCCTAATAACCCGTCGAACACGCGGTTCAGACTTCTGATACTCGCGCCACTTGAGGTCCCTTGCCGCCTTCTTCTCTTCCGCATCTTGTTTCTGCACCGCCAACTTGTGCCCGTTGCTGTTGTGGTGTCCTCTAACACATGAAATCTGGATGTCCCGCGCGCCAACACCGGGTCTCCCAAACGGAGAGTTTCCCTTATCAGCTCCCCATTTAGAACAGACGCTACATTTCATTCCGAACTGCTGTGCCTCCGAGTTGTACTCCAAACTGAGCCACGAAAAGTCTTGGGTCCACCTATGGCTGAACTTGGATTTCAGTTCCAACTCCTTCCTAGGGATGGGAGCTTCAGCTTGCCCCTGCTGCGGACCACTGGAGTTGGGCTGCACTTTCTCTGTTGAGCTCGGATCTGTCTGTCCTACGCCTCCACTGGAGTTGGGCTGCACTTTCTCTGTTGTGCTCGGATCTGTCTGTCCTTCGCCTTGTGGAGTGGAAGCGTCCTGTGGTGCTCGTTGATTTTGTGACACATTCTCGGGATGAGATGATGCAACTTCCGTTGTCTTCTGCACCTTACGCTTTCGACTACTCGGAGGAGGTGCGAACCAGAGGGGAATCTGCTTATGGACACGCTGTTTTGGAGCTACTGAACCAATGGTAGGATGGATTGTGGCAATGTTAGGGTCCGACGGGCGACGGTGAATAGGCCGTTCCTCTGATGACCCCTCAGGGTAAAGGTGGAGAGTGACAGACTTGGCCTGCGTGCCTTCATGTGGCAATGCTGTCCTTATGGGTGAAAAGGATGACCGATTGAGATCTAGATTCATGTCGTCATCGTTTAGATCAATAGGCGAAAATGGATATTGCCATGTCGTTTCAGCACTCATCCTACCGCTGCCAAGGGAAAGGCGTAATTCGTCGTCTCTATTATCCGCCATGGCTTGAGAGTACTAAAAGGTAAATTCAGTCGTGGATGAAAGCAAACCCTAACGTACGCTAGTGTTTCTGATACATTCGGTAGTAAAGTTAATGAAACTCGTGTATTTTCAGTGACTATTCATTAGGTTACGATTAAGGGACGCCATGGCATGGAGGAATGGCGTGGGTGGAGTGACAGAAACATGAGGCAGTAGGCAGGGATGCTGGTAGGGTATTTGAGTTGAGCCCAAGTTCGTACTTCGAGTCTGACTTCGTTCCTTTTCTAAATTGGAGGGGACAATGAAGTGGTGCGGAGGGGCGAAGATTGGTTTGGAGGGAGAGTTGGGTTTGAAAGACAAGTCAAATTGAAGCTAAGGGGATGTTGTAGAGAGAGAGGGAGCGAAAAATAAGGGAGGGGTAGGCTGGGGGGAGGAGGTGGCTTGTGGGCTGGGCTGTTGCTGAAACGAACGCGCGGATCTGGTTGGCGGGAACGAGGGGGAGGGAAACGGAAAAGGGATTTTCTGGGGAGGGGGAGGGAAGAGGTGGGGAAGGGGGTGGGCCGGCTGTATACGGGAAAAAATTCCGGGTCGCCCCCAAATCTACTCGGAGCCTCCAGGAACAGCCAAGCACCACTCGTACCCCCCAGGCCCAGGCTCGAAATCACTCGGATTTCGTCAGGGTCGCTCAGAAAATCGCCCTGCAAAAATCCGAGCCACGTGGAAAAACACCTTGTAATTTCAGTCAAGAACGAGCATTTACCCTGATAGCCTGAGCCCTGGTGTGGAAGGTCCCAAAGAGATGGAAGTTGAGATCCATGGGCACTCCTATGGCCCAGCCCACCACCACACAGAAGATCTGTTTTTTGAGAATTCTCAAAAAACATATCTGGTCACCCCACCACCACACAGAACGGGATCTGCAGGCACCGGCGGGGGGGAAAGAAGCGATAGGTTGGGATGGGGAACACAGGGGCAGACAGAGACAGGAGTGTGTTGGAAAATAGGTAGGAAGGCCCACTGGCACGCCCATGGCCCACTGGCACGCCCATGGCCCACTGGCACGCCCATGGCCCACTGGCACGCCCATGGCCCACTGGCACGCCCATGGCCCACTGGCACGCCCATGGCCCACTGGCACGCCCATGGCCCACTGGCACGCCCATGGCCCACTGGCACGCCCATGGCCCACTGGCACGCCCATGGCCCACTGGCACGCCCATGGCCCACCCCACCACCACACAGACCCACCCCACCACCACACAGACCCACCCCCTCGTCCGAGTCTGAGTCACGGGGCTTGCTGGCAGATGGGAAGCGGGGAAGAAGGAGGGGGGGGGAGGGGGGTTTGAGGGGTTTGGGAGTACGAGTAGAGGCGACAGCGTTGGTTGGTTGGTTGGTGGTAACCACGCCCTTGCACAGGCGTGGCTCACCTACTCCCTCTTTGAGTCCGGCTGCTTTGCTTGCTGAGAGGGAGGAAGGGGGATGAGAGGGGCACTGGTTAACACAGCTTGATAGGAAAAGAGAAGGGGTGAGATGGAGGCAGAGGAGTTGGGTTTATGGGCCTGCTGGGGAAAGAGGGGGTGAAATGGAGAATAGGGGGACTGCTGCGGGTTTTGACACTAGAGGCCACCCCCCACCTGTCACTACACAGGTTATGACACGTCTCCAAGCCGCCACCTTTTGACCACACACTTGTCGCTGAGCAGCACCTTTTGAGACGTCTCGAACTCACCACCACCACCCCTCCGAACCCATCTCAACCACGCACCTGTCGCTGAG